CCCCCCCCCCCGAGGGGGTCAGCCAGCCAGTTGCCCGGGAGCTGCCCCCTCTTCCCATGACATCATTTCTGAAAGCTCTGGCAACTTTCATCCTCCCCCCCCCCAACTCCATCTCCGGAGAGTTTGTGCTGGCAAATGACCCAGGGGCGGAAGGGGCTCCGCTCGGCTGGCCTGGAGGCTTTGCAGCAGCTGCCCAACACAGCCAGCTCCTGCAGCCTTTCCTGGGCTCCCCCCCCCAAATCCAGAACAACGGGTGGCTCTCTGCCCCCTCCCCACCCCCATGTCTGAAAAGTGGGGTGTACCTGGTTGTGTTTGTGGGGGGGGGTCTTGTAAAGAATGAGATGGATGACATGTGGGGGATCCTCTCGGTCTCCAGGCATTTTGAGCAGCTGGTGGGTGATGCTTCTCTGACTCAGCCCTCCCCCCTTCCCTTCCCTTCCCTCCCCCAGCAATGCTGTTTGGGGGCTGGCAGTTCGGGGTAGCGGAGTTGGGAAAAGCCGAGCACCGGAGCTGAGCAAGCTTGGGGGTTGCTCCCCAGAGGCGGCCCTCTCCCCTTCATCATCCTCTCGGGAGTTTCGGGATGGCTGCCCTCCGAGGGTCCCCCTGGCATGGATGAAACTGGGGCGCCTGTGGGAAAGAGATGCTTTATGGACGCCTGGGAGTTTGGCCCTGGAGGGCTTTGGACGCAGCTCAGCAAACGTCCCTTCTTTCCTGTGCAATCTATTGTCTAAAGGGGCCTTCCTTCCTTCCTTTCCAGACAGGAAACATTTTCCCTCTCTGGCTGCTTTCAGTCTTGGCAACCGCTTCCTTTCCCTCGGCGAGGAGGGGCCGTTTTGGGACCCTCCCAAAGACGGTCCATTCCCTGGGCAGAAAAACCAAGGCTGCTCCCGTTTGGTCCTTCTTGTCTGACCTGGCCTTGACTTTTAGCCCCCTCAAGCCATCTTGCAGCTTTTTCAAGACCCCTAAAGGGGGTCTCTGGGGGGGTCTGCAGATGGGTTGGGGGGTGTCTTTGGCTGAGTGCTGGAGCAAAGCCACCCCTGGCTGGTGGGAGGGGGGGGTGATGACTCTCCCCATCTGTCACCAGCCGACCTGCCTGACCCATAGCCAAGCGCAGGGTTTTTAAGGATCCCACGTGCAATCTAGGGTGATGCAGAGACCTCCCTGTCCGTTTGTGATGCGTCTCCGTCATGCTCTGTGGGGAAAGTTTTCCGGCACACAGAAAGAGGAGGCAGATGTTTCCTTCTGTCTCTTGGCCCGTTCCATGTGTGCCGACAAACCTGCTTTTCTTGAAATCCTTTCATCGGAGGTCAAAGGTCTGCAGGCTGGGAAACATTCCCGCACACACTTGCCGATGATTGACAGGATTTGCACACAAGGGAGGTGTGTGTTGTTCTTTTTCAGAGGCCGGGTGCCAGAAGTTGGCATTCTGCTCCGGGCCTTTTGTTGGGCCAAGAGTCCTGGGCGGGACGCTTTCCCCCAAAACACCAGCAAGGGTGGCTGCAGCGGGCGAGGGGAAGGAAGGGAGCGCAGACGCTCCGCAGCCGGAGCCAAGGCCAGCGAGGGGGGAAGGCCACCTTGGGACGCATCCTGAGCTGGGGCCGCTGGGGTTTTTTTGTGCTCTGCCTTTCTCGCTCTGTCCAGTATGGTAATTTTTGCCCACTTATCCAAATGCCAGAGGCTAAAATGAAGGGACGGTTGTGATTCCCAGCTGACTCTCTGCCTTTTGGGAACCCTGGGTGACCCTTTTCCTGGACGGAGGGGGGTTTCGCCCGGCAAGGAAGCGACTGAGCTGGGAAGAGGCATCAGGCGTGGTAGCCTTGGTCTCTTCATCACATCCTGGTTTGCTGGTTGGGAATAAAACGGAGGAACGAGGTTTGGTCCCAAATGCCAGGGAGTTCATTCATTTTAAAAAGTAGATTTTGCTCTCCAAGGATTTAGGGGTCCCTGGAGCTTCCCGTGCAAAGCAATCATAAATTTGCAGAGAAGTTTCTTCCCAAAGCTTTTATTTACTTCATTCCTTTGCACACGGATGCTGAAGACCAGGCACCACAGAGGCCTCTTTTGCCCTTTCTGTAGTTACCGGCTCTTCCGGAATAATCCTTTAAGCAGACTAAAAAAATTCCCCTCTCTTCCTGCCCCCCCCCGCCTCGCAAAGTTCCTGTCCCTGCTTCAGAAACCAGTTCTAATCCAGAGTGGAAATTCAGCCTGTAGCCGTCGGCATCCTCTTAGCCGTCTCTGATCTCGGTTTCAAGGACAAAGCCAGTGCCTCTGTTTTAGGAAGGGCTTGGGAGGCGTTCAGACAACCAGTTCCAGGAAGCGGTGCAGAAAATGTTTGGCATTTCCGCCTTTGCAGAAGAGGTTCTCCAGGAGACATTTCTGCTAGAAAATTCTTATAAGCAGGCTGCCCTTCTGGTGCTTTTCTCTTGTTCAGACCCTCAACCTGAATTCCTGTGAATTCTGGTGCCCCTGCAGAGTTGGGCTCAGTTCTGCAGTTTTGAGCTCGGATCCTGGCCAGGCGGGAACCGGCACCCTTGCTGTAGCCCTCTCTGACATGGCAATGTTGTGGCTGTCAATGTTGTGCCTCTGCACAGGTCAGTTTTTATTCCGAGGCCTGGTACGCCTGGAGCTCAGCAGACGGTCCTCTCCCGGCCCTGGCTGCTGCCTCTTCCCCACCCACAGCAGCCCCAGGAGTTGCTTGATTTGCTGAGGGAGACAGACTCAGCCGAGGCAGAGCGTAGCGGGTGGCTGAAGCATCCGTGGAAGACGGGGAGAGGTGAAGGGACTGAGGGCGAAACCCATCTTGCCCCATGTGGCTCCCACCGGCAGCAGAGCCCGGGGACAGGCCCCCCTGGTCTTCTGAGAGTGCCAGGCCTTTCCCTTGCCTGGGGTCCAATGGGAAAGGCTTGTCCAAGAAGGCAGAGGTCATATGAGGTTGCCCATATCTCTGCTGACAAGCGTTGGCTTCTGAAGCTGTGGGACTCTTTGTGCAAATGGTAGAGAACATCTGAATACACACAGCATAGTTTCCAGGAACTGTGTGTCTCTAAACCCTTAAAAATGCTGCCAGACCTGCTGGGATCTCTGGAGGTTAGCTTGTGTTTTCTTCTTTTTTCCTTCCTCCCTTCCTTCCTTCCTTCCTTCCTTCTCTCTGCCTGGCAGAGAGGCCATCAATAATTCAGAGCTCTCGTGTTCCAGGAAGACATTTTGCCACGTTGGCATTCAGCCTGAGAGCAGGGAGCCTTCTTGTGGCCCAGCCCAGAGAGCAACAAGGACCCCGCAGAGGCTCCTGGAGGAGGAGGATCCCTCGTGGGTCAGATGGAGGGGTTCCTTCGCCTGGCACCCCCTTGCAATGCAGCCAGCCAGCAATGCTGGAAAAACCCCAGGGAGGCTGTCCTTCCCCTGCCGTTTGACGCCCCGCCACAAAATAAAACGTATTTCTTTTTTTAAAAGGATTTTTTATCTCCTTATTTCGAGGAGATAAAAACACCTAAAAATCATACCTGGGGGCAGGGAAGGAAAGGATGTAAAGGGATTTGGCTCGACGTGTAAGCAATTAATTCAGCTTGTCTTTTAAGACGATAGGACCCACCTTTTTGGCCAATGGGAAAGCTCTCTCGGGGGGTGTATCTATGCTGGGGGGGGGAGCAGATGCCAAAACCGGGGTAGGGAAAGAAGCGTCTGGCTGGCAAAGTCACCTGGCACCTGGGTCTGGGCAGCCTGGCCTTCCCAGAGGTGACCTGAGCTGGCTTGTCTTTTGGAGGCAACCAGTGGCCGTTTGAGGCTCTGTCAGGAGGCTTTCCAAGCACAGGGCGGCTTGTGCAACGTGGAAAGCGGTAATTGGCGCCCGAGAAACGTCCTGAATGAATGGAAGGGCCTTTCGCTCCTTCCTTTGATCGCCAGGCTGTCCTCGGGTCGGGATGACCGAAAGGATGTTTCTCTGGGCCTCTTTCTGCTTTGGGGGGGGAGCCGCCCCAGGCATTTGTTTGCTTAGCCTGTGCAACTGTCATGGGGGGGGTAGATTGAGGGGTTTTTTTGGGAACCTCAAAATATCTCAGCTTCAAAGGCTAAATTTTAACTACCTGCCGTGTTTGCACAGGACAGAGGATTGCCCTGCTCTTAGTGGGGAAGGGGCTTCCTTTTGGATTTTTTTCCTCCCCATAAAAGACACACACCCCCTTCCGGGATGACCTCCGTCTGCTTCGCTTTTCAGTTGGCTGGAGTCATTTTATTACAGCCATTTTTAGTCAGTTGACTCTGCTTCCAGAGATGGTCTTCGCCACCTACAGGAAGTTCTCGATCCCTTCTTGGTTGCTTCTCTCCCTGGAGCTCCTTACGTCTGAAGCCACCCTGGGACAAACACTTGCCGAGCAGCCCTGCTTGACCGACGGGGTCCCTGCCTCTGTCCAGGCCTCAGCCGGGCCCACCGCAGCACCCGCTCCTGTTGGACAGCTCCCCAAATTGGTTGGGTGCCTTTGGGATTAAGGTCTCCTCTTTCAGGCAGTGAAATGTCTTTGTGGGTCCTTCCTTTGGGCTCACCTTCATCTCAGGGTCCTGAGTGGGTGACTGACTGCAAATATCAAGATTGGCTCAGGAAATTGCCTCCTCCTCCTCCTCCTCTTGTTCCTCCTCCTCCTATTTCTAAAATCAGGAGTCCCCCCACCCACTTCTTTGCAAGGCTCAGTCCCTCCCTGGCAGTGCCTGGACTGATAAGAGGCGGGTTGGGCTGGCCTCCCTGTGTGGGCCTAAGGTCTTTGGGCCTCTTCCTTTCCGAGTTGGGCTGCCTCCCTTTGTAGGAAAAGGGGTTTGGGGGTCAATGGTGGGGGCAAGGCAGCTTAGTCTTCGCTCCTACCCCTGGAAAGCTGGTGAGCCACTCCCAGCGGCTGAAATAACCTCTCTTCAGTCCCACCTTGTTTGTTTTCCTGTTTTGCCGTTTTTTTTCGCTTTATGTAGCTGAGGGTTTTGGTGCACTCTGCCTCTTCAAAGCTGCTTTGAGCAGGCCGGGGCAGAAAGTACGGCCAGCGGAGGGCTGTGTGTGGGACTCCGGGGTTTCCGTGTTTGCCTGCTGCAGGCCAAGGTTTGCTGCTGGCAAACAGTCCAGCTTCCCGGACCAGACTGGGCAGGACCCGCCTTTCCTTCAAGCGCCAGCAGAGCCAGGAGAAAAGGGCTCGTGTGACTCTGTTTGCAAACTTTGCCACCACTTCCCTGACCAGAAGCAGGCGATCTGAGATGGCAGGCAGGAGCTTCCAGCTTCCCTGCCTCCCTCTCCTGCTTCTCCTCCGAAGCACAAACCTTCCCTGGCCTCCCCTCGGCTGTTGTTTCAGGTCGGTTTTGCCAAAGCGAGGAGGGCAGGCTCTGGGCAGCCTCTGCAGGGCCACGGGGAGGTGAGTTTTGGCATCTTGCTTGGCATCTGACGGGTTCCCTGGCACCGGGCTTCTCGGAGGGCTGGGTGCCTGGAGGAGTGCTCTCCCGTTTTGTTACTCAGCGTCTGCTTCTACGCTTCTGGGTTATCGCTTCTCTCCTGCTTACTTTCTGGGTGGGGGCAGATTGATCTGCACACTCCCCCCTCCTGCATGAAGGGAGAGGTTTGAATTGTGCCACCTGGCGGCTGAGTCTCCAAACTGCAGACTGACTGGAAGAGCCCAGGCCGTGTGACCCCGATGTGCAGGGTCTGCAGCCGCCCGTGGCTCCTGTCCAAACAGGCGCTGGCTGGAAGGCCTCCTTGTGAGAAAGAAGCAACCTCCGTCTTTTGTCTTTTTTTAGCGCAGAGAAATTTAATAATTTGCAGGGAGGGGCCCCAGAGAGAGACCTGGCTTGGTGCAGAGGAAGCTGGTGGGGGATCAACTGAGGAACAGGACTGGCTCGTCCACCTTGGTGGATGCTGGCTGTTTGGGAGCTGCTCGTAAGGAAGGGCATCCCTCCGTGTCTCTCAGCCGGGTTGGGCAGCCAAGCGTCCTTAGTCTCGGGTTGAGCAAGTGGCCCTGATCCGCTTCCTGCCTTTTGGACTGCAGAGCTGTGTCCTCGGCACCTGGACTGCACCCTTCAGCGGCGGAAGGAGTGTCCCCTGGGGTCCCATGCCTGCGGCCCCTGCCTCCCCCAGTTCTTCGAAGACGGAGAGGGAAGATGCGTGACCAAGACAGCAGCGCCCAAAGGTAAAGGGAAGGGGGGGGCTCAGCTGGGATCCCCTATGCCCCTTCTGTGCCTGCGCTTTCGCCTCACTGGCAGGAGTTAGGCCTACTTGTCGCATGGTGGGTGGGGGGCTTTATCTGAACGGCAGCAACTCCTCCGCAGACCCTGGAGCAGGAGAGTCCACGTGGGTTTTCCCTGGGTGGGGCTCCAGATACAAAGTCACAGCATTGCTGGAAGACTTAGAAAACTGAAACACGATCCACTCCAATGTGCCAGTGTCCCCCGAGAGGGAAAGAGGTGCCAAGGTGGCTCTTTTCAACCAAAGTTATAGTGAGCAGAGGGTTGGGCTAGAGGACCTCTAAGGTCCCACCCAAAGCTGTGATTCTATAGACCGCAGGGTAGGGCCTCCCCTTGCAGGCCGCCCGTGTTCTGCCTGCCCACCCTCAGAAGGCGAGGGAGGGTGTGGGAAGGGAGAGCAGAACAGGCAGCTGGCACAAGGGGGAAGCCGGCTTCTGGCATGACGTGATGCCAAGTGGCTTCTTTGGTGGACAGATGGCGGCTTACGCAACAGTTCCCTTGCGAAGGGATTGTTTTCTCAGTGGCTTTGGAGCCCCTCGATGAAGACCCTCCCCCTTAAAACTGGGAGGGCCTGGGGCTTCTCTGCCCCTGTGCAAGGCAGTTGCCTCCGTTTTTAAACTGACATCTTCCCTGCTTGCTGAAACGTTTGCTAAAATTGTATGTTCTCTCTGTGTGTGTTTGTTTACTTATTTTGCTGACTGTCCTTCGTGTGGGCCCCTCCGTCTCCAGGGCAAACCGCTGTGGTCCCCAACCCAGAGGAGGAGATTGACTTGGTGTCGGATGCCCTCGCCAAGCAGGGCAGGGGGCCTCTGCCCCACAGCCAGGAAGGTACGGCTGCCCTCGGCCCAGAGGGGCCCCCTACCTGGCACAGAGCAGGGGGGCATCATTGATTTTGCAAGGGAGGCGACTCTCCTGCCTCTTCCGCCTTCTCTCTGCCAATCGGCCCTTCTTCCTCGCGCAGAGAGCTCAGCCTCCACTGGCCAACTCTCCAGGAATGGGGCATCGAAGGCCGAGTCCTCGCAGAATGGCCGGCGGGGGTGGCCAGACACGTCGTCTCGCCCCACCACAGAGCCGGTCCATAACCCCCCAGTGGAGTCGACCCGCATCTCTTCCAACGATGCCCTCGTCCTCGGTGAGTCTTCGCCCAGGCAGCATGGGTGCACCCCGAGAAAATCATAGGGGTAGCAAGATCTCAAGATGCTAGTCCTCAGGTCTGAGATGGCTTGGGAAGGCTGCCTTTGGTAATCCCATCTTCAGGGGCAGTCTATCTTGGGGGGGGGGCAGCTGCCAGAGGCCCTGGGGTGGGGAAAACCTCCCTTTGCTGGGGGTGGGGGTCTCCGACTGCCCTTCCCTCTCCAAGTCTCTGTCCTCCGTTGCAGGCCTGATTGTCGTCTGCACGGTTGCAGGGGTGGCGGCCCTGGTGGTGGCGATGATCTGCTGGTGCAGGTCAGTCCTGCGGGTTTCCCTCGGGCACCGGGCACAGCGGGCAGCTGACCTCCTTGAGGTCACAGCTTTGAGATCTGCCCTGGAGCCCTTCCGTGCTGCCTCCAAATGGAGCCTCCATGGCAGCAGCAGTATATCTGAGGAGGGAGGGGATGCTCAGGGCCTATTTGGGGGTTCTCTGGGCTTTGGGGCAACCCTGCCAGCTGCTGTGCTACTACCCTCCTGGATGTCCCCTCTCCCCACAGGCTGCAGAGGGAGATCCAGCTTGCCCAGAAAGCGGATTATCCAGCGAATAAGCTGCCCCAGCCCCCCTCCTACGACAAGCTCTCTGTAAGTGCCTCCTCCGGATGCTCCTTGGCACGGCAAGTTGGCAGCTCCCAGTTCTTTGGCCAGCCCAGCTCCTGGGGGCTGCCTTGGGCCAGGCTTCTCCGTGAGCCCGACTCTCCCTGCGGCCCCTTTGGCCTCTGCTGGTGGCAGGGAGCTCTTTCTGCCCCGGCCGGGCCTGGCTCGCTGGCACCAGGGCCAGGAAAGGGCCCTCTCTGCCCTTCGTTCTGGGGAAGGCCACGTGGGTGGTGCCTGTTCTGCTGGCATGACAGTCTCTGCGCTCTGGGTGCTTCTTGCCCTTTCCTCCAGCCTGGCGATCGGAAGCTGGCGCAGAGTGCCCAGATGTATCACTACCAGCACCAGAAGCAGCAGATGCTCTGCCTGGACAAGTGCGTCCCCCGTTGCGGTGATGGGTTCAAAGTATTGCAAGCGTGTTGGGTTTCCCTGCCCTCTTCCTGGTTTCTCTTCGACCTACCGGTGAATTGGGCCCAGAAGCAGGGTGGGAGGCCGGGGGCTCCTTCGTGCAAGGCCCACAGCAGCCGGCATCCTCTGTCTCCGCTTAGTTGGGCACGAGACTGCTTGCCCTCCAGGGGCTTCTAAACAGGTTCAAAAGTGCCACGAAGGTTAGGAAGCCCCGGATGAAATGAGCCTCTGGCAGCCGGAAGTGAATGCCAGCTCGAAGGGGTCTGACAGCCAGGGGGCAGCGCCAGGGCCTCTGTCCATTTGCCCGTGTTATTCTTGGGGTGTCCACTGAACAAAGCCTGGTCTGACCTGGGGAGCCTGGCAGGGCCGGGTTTCCAGGGACCTCGCAGAAAGGGCTTCGGGTCGAGATGCCCCCATTTCTGCCTCAGCTTTGGCCGGACATTTTGAAACCAAGATCTCAGCTGATGGGGAGGTTGGCTTGCCATGGGGTGGGCTCCTAAGGGGGCAGGTGAGGGAGGGCACCTTCTGCCCCATCTCACTACATTCTGCCCCCCAAAATCCATAGGAATAAGGAGGAAGCCAAAGCTCCTGAATCCGTCTCCTCGGATGAAGAGAATGAAGATGGAGACTTCACGGTCTATGAGTGCCCTGGCCTGGCCCCGGTAGGTGTCTCTCTACGGGGAGGAGGGGCACACAGATCTCCCCCCCCCCCCGCTGTGCCCTGTATCTGAAGAAGAGAGCAGGGCCGAGCCCTGGGGTGGATCCAGCCCTGGAGCAGGTCGAAGAGATGGGAAAGGCAACCGCTTCCTGGGGGTTCATTTCCCTGCCATGGGGAGCGCGGTTCCCGTGGGCTGTGGGGCTGCCCTGTCCAGCGTGAATCAGAGCAGGGCCCCCAGTGCCCAGAGCGCCATGCCCCTTCCTTGCCCTCGGCTGGGCAGTGCCAGGCCACTCCTCGAGGCAGTGAGTGTGTAACGGTTGGGTCTCTCTCGTTCTTCCTCGTTGGCTGCCGCAGACTGGAGAGATGGAAGTGAAAAACCCCCTTTTTGATGACTCCACTCTGCCCCCAAAGCTGCACCCCTGACCGGGAACTGTGGACTGTGCGCAGGACCTGTCCGAGGGCCGCCTGACCAATGGCTCTCCTCTGCCCTCCTCCGCAAATTCTTGGCTGAAATAAATCCGCCTTCTGGGCAACTCGCTTCTGCTCGGCTTCGCGTTCTCCCCTGCACCGGCCCTTCCACCGGCTCCTGGATGTCGCGAAGAGGCTCTGTGGACCGTCTGGACTCAGGCAGGAAGAGACAGGGGGCCCCCCTGAGGCCTGGCTTGCCACCTCCTGTCCCCCCACAATCCCTGCACAAATCAGATTTCAGAGTGGGGGGTTTCTCTTTTCTCTTTCCTTGTTTTGCAGCCCCCAAGGTTAAAATAATCGGGCTGGGGAGCCTTTGACGCTCGAGCTTCTCCCTTTGGGAGGGAGCTGCAGCTTCAAGAGGGAGGAAGTGTTCGGACAGGCGCTTCCCTGCCCGGCCAGTTGAGACGCCTTGGGAAAGCGGTCCATGTGCCCATTTCGCAGGTGGGAACCAGAGGCAGACTGAGGCTGGAAAAGGTGCAGCTGCCAGTTTAGTAAGTCCTGATCCATTTCACACTGTTTTCAGCACTTTCCCAAGGGAACTGAGTTTTGAGGCTTTGTGGGCCAGATTTTAGTTCTCCGAATTTCAAGGGGGAGCAATGTTACAAAACAGCGTTAAGGTCCGCAGAGGGACCTGTTCAGAGAGGGGGAGGCGGGCTGACCCCCAGAGTTTCTCCCCTTGGACCCGGGGGCCAGACAGCCTTCACCCCTTAGCTTTCTCCGGCCGTGCCCCCTGTTCTGCCAGTGTGGTGTCCCTTCCTCACGAAGGGAGGTGACACCAGTTCTGATTCATTGGGCATGTCCGAGGAATTCATAACCTTCCCCCAGACTGGCTGAGCAAGAGCTAGGATGGCATTGAGCCAAGTTTTCTTTTCTTTTTCAATTAAAACCAAATCTGGAATGTTGATTTTCTTCATACCAAATTCAGAAGGTTTCCGAAGTATTTCTGAATTCCTTAATTAAATGGGATGGGTGTCGAGGGAAGAAGAATGAGATTGATGGGAACCTGTGTTGTCTGCTTTCAGAAGACACGACGTTCGAAGCATTTAGTCTCCTCTAAGAATTGGGGAGGGGGGGAAAGTGTTGGAGAGGGTGAGTTGTGTTAGACAGCAATCAAGGCTGACTCCTACCCTCACCTTCGCAAGTCCAAAGATATTCCTAACCACCTGGGTAGCTGTAGCCTATTTCTCCTTGCCCCTGCTGTGAGGTCTACAAGCTCCATGGAACACAATAAACAAACAAGGTTCACTGCTGGGGGGGGGGCGCACAAGTGAAGTTTGGAAAAGGGGCGTTTGTTTATACAATTGTCCTTTGGGATTGCGATGCACGGTGAATTTGCAGGGCAGAGGGTGGATATTTTATTTTATTTTGAAGAGGTTTGCCAAAAGCCTCAAGAAACCATTTTTGGAGTGCATTAGAGTTGCATCAGGAGCTCCCCCCCCCTCCGGCACCTCCTCTATGGGTTTTGCAAAGGTGCCCCCTCCTTCCCATCAGTGTCTCAACAGGGTTTTCTTGGGCCCAAACTGAAGGGCCGGAAGCTGCAGCCAGAGGGGCCCCCAAGCCTCCAGCTGCTGGGCCCCTCGGCTATGGGTCCCCTACCTGAATCGGAAGAGTGGGGGGGGGTTAGGGGCTGCTCTGGCTGAGCGAGCAGGGCAGGACCCCCTTCTTAATCAGAGAGGAACAGTCCTGCCTGCAGGATGAAGAGTATCAGGGCTGTTTCCAAAGCAGCTTTGGGGGGGCGGGGCGGGGGAGACCCCTCTGCGTTCATCCTCCTGTTTTTGAGTTTGCACAGCACTTTTGCACTTATCCCACTGAGTAGTTTACTCCCTACTTTTGTATTCTTTCCAAAGAGGAAGCCACACACAAGGGAAAGAGACCTGAACCCAGAGCTCTTAAGTTCTGAGTTGCCTCCTCTGCTGCCTGGACTGTGTCCGTTGCTAATATTGGAGGAGGGAGAGGAATTCCCCCCCCCCCAAAACATACAGGTGACTTTGCAGAGAGTTTCTCCTTCAGCCCTGCTCTGGGTGGGGGGCTCTGAAGCTGCCCCTGGAGCTGCCAGCTCTTAAACCCCAGAAGTGATGGTGGGCTGGGGGGGGGGGAAGGGAGGGACAATGCCACATGGGGATAGTTTATTTTTTTCCTTGTTTTGTGGTTATTTTTGTTTCCAGACCTGTATGGACTGTGTTTAATAAATTTTATTAAATGACCAATTCTCAAGCTAGTTCCTCAATGCTTCTTTGGTGCCCTTTAGTTTTAAATGAGCCATTTTCTTCCTGGATTTAGGGGTATCTTAAAGGGACAAGCCTGTCCTCGCAGCCTCTATCCTAGAGGGACCCACGGCCATGTTGGTTTGATCCCCAAATTGTTCTGTGTCAGAGAATATCTGGGAAGTAGGTAGAGGAGGGCAGATAAATCTCAATAACCCAAAGTGCTCCCAGCCGCCCTCTTGCAGTGTGTTTAATATTCTTTTGCAGAAGGTGGAGAGTGCCAAGGGCCGATTCTCCAGGATGGCTCAGATCCCATCCAGGCCTGCAGGGTGGTGGTCAGCGCTGTGGCCAATGGTCACTCTGCCTCCCAGCCCCCATTAGGCCAGGCAAACCGGCCGCCTAGTCCAGCCCTCCTGCTTGGCCGCTGCTCGCCCACCACCAGGGGCACTCCCTCCCCAAGGGTGCCCAGGGGATGGGTGTCTCCCCACTGCCAGCCTGGCACTGGAACCACTGCACCCACTGGCCCCTTGCTCAAGATATTGCGCAAGTGATAATCCCATCCTGACTTTGCAATTAAATTGCACTCTGCACATATTTTGAGGAACATAATTTACTATTAAGGGAGCTCTTTTTTCTTAATTAGGAAAACGATATTCAAGTAATGTCCAGTTAGAATTGGAGCGATGCTCGCTGGGGATGAAAGAAAAGTTATTTGGACTCTGCAGAGAGTGAAAGATCCAAGACGAAGGAAGATTTGTAGAATATAGGAGCCCCGTCCTTGTGTGCCAAGTTGTCCACCAGAGGGGCTCACAGGCCCTTCTGGACCCCAGCCTCAAACCCTGAACACCCCCCCCCTTGAAAAACTCTGATCTATTCTTAAAGGCCCTTTTTTAAAGTGTTCCCAGCGATTGCCCTGTAAATCTTCCTTTCTGAATGCAGGCAGTTTAGACTGTCGTTTAAATTCCTTTCTTCCTCCGAGGTAGCATACTGCATGGGGATTTTCTCCCCCCCCTCACCCCAACCCTGCAAAGTAGGTCAGTATAAGATTAGGATTAACTGAGCAATTTTAGACTGGGGGGGGAGTGGGAGGGAAAGTTGGGGAAATTAAGAATGGCTCTTTCTCAGGGGCTTCCAACTTGGCACAGGGCTCAATCCGGTGGTTTCAGTAGAATGAATGGAGATCAACTCCGCAGGGATCCAGTGGGACCACTAGAGGGGGCTGATGGCCACAGGAGGCTGGCACCGGATTGGCACTGTGCCGAGAAAGGGCAAGATTTCACCAAAGGCAGAATGAAAAGGTTGTTAAACGATGTTCACAGGATGTGGGGAGCACTTGTGACTTGGAGGGCTGAGGGAGGACCGAGATCCAGGCTGGGGCAGGCAGCCCTCTGGCCAGTGGTCACTCTGCCTCCCCTCCCCCATTAGGCCAGGCAAACTGGCTATCTAGCTCGGCCCTCCTGCTTGGCTGCTGCTGCTTGCCCACCGCCGGGTGAAGGCTGAGGGTGCCCAGAGGATGAGTGTCTCCCTGCTGCCAACCTGGCACTGTAACCACTGCACCCACTGGTCCCTTGCTCAAGACGAGGAGGGGCACTGAGGTTTCTAGCTTCCTTTCTTGCCAGATTCACTTGGGTAAACAGGAAAGGGTTTAAGGTCAGGGCAATCTTCTGCTTCACAGCTTTCACGTCTTCCTCTGCCGTTGGAATAGCTTTCTTCTCCGCCCCTGCCCCCCATCTGGCATTCCACGGGGGTTCAGCTACAAATCCCACCATCCATCCCAGACTTGGGGAATGGACCTTGCTGAGGGAGCAGAGGAGAAGCGAAGTCTGATTGACGAGCACTTGAGCGAAGGAGGAAGGAAGGAAAGGAAGTCGAAGAAAAAAAAAGAGAACCAAAGAATTGAACCCTGGGATAAGAAGGGAGGATAAGTGGGAAAAGGAGAGACCCCATGGGTGGGCACTGGTGCCAACACAGGGAATCTTACTTTGGGGTCAGGGGTCTTCTGAAGGGAGCAGGAGAGGAGCCACGGAGAGTCTGACTGCCCCAGGGACATTTCTGGCTTTAGCAGCAGAGGCTAGTAATCCCAGTACCAGCGCTTCAGGTCCGGGTAGAGTTTCTTCTGGGGCAAACGGGGGTACTGACAGCAGATGGAGCAGAACCGTTCCCGCCAGTCCTGGTGGAGTCTGACCGCGTAGCTCCGCTTCCAGGCAAAGAAGCTCCGGTAGTGGCTTTCGTTCATGGTAGTCAAGAAAGTGGCCAGCTCCTGGGCTGAGCTGAAGTCGTCCACGTGGATAAAGGCATTGGCGGGCATGAACTGCTGGTAGTTGGCACGGGAGGGGCCCAGGACAATGGGCACAGAGCCGGCGAGGAAGGCGTTCCTCCAGAGCTTCTCCGTGATGTAGTCCCGGTGGATGGAGTTCTCGAAGGCCAGGTAGAACTTGTACTTGGAGATGGTTGGCAGCAAACAGTCGGGGCACAGCGGCCTCCTGCTGGCCTTCCCAAACACGTCGATTCTGAGGTGACTGGACAGGTCGCGGTACATCGCTGCCCTGGCTTGGGAGCGATGATAGTTGCTGATCACCCAGGAGACTAAGCCGGTTTTCTCTGGGATCTCCACCACACCCAGCGAACGAGGCACCAGCTCCCCATAGGGGAGAAAGAGGTCAGCATCTCTCCTGTACGAGAGGACCCAGTTCCATTCATTCCCCGTCCAGCCCTCCAGGGCTTTGGTGTGGCTTGGAGACTCCAGGGAGACCCAAACCCAGTTCTGCCCAGGGTGGGCCTTGGATGGTGGAAGGTCCTGCCTTTCGTGCTGGAGTTCCCGGTGATGGAACACCACAACGTCCGCTTGGCTGAACAGGGTACGGTTCGTGGTCAGTTGGCAGCCTGTGATGCCATAGAGCCTGGAGCAGACATCACCGGTCAGGTTTGTGGCTTCCCCGAAGGGCCAGCTCCAGATCAGGAGGGTCAAGGTAGTGTTCTGCCTTGGAGACCTTGGAGGGTTATCGAACAGCGTGAGGAGAAGCGGGGCATTCAAGAACAGGACGATGCCAAGGAGAGACGCAGTGGTCCAGATCTTTGCCACAGGAGCCATCAGGTGGGAAAGTGACCAGAAACGCAATTGCTGCTTTGTGTGAGGAGCTGGCTTGAGGAACTGGGGTTGCTCAGCCCTCTTCCTTCCTCAGTCCCGGCAGATCTCAGAGCTGCAAAAAAGACAGAAGAGGTCAGGTTGCCCAAAGGATTGCAAAACATCCCCTACTGAATTAAAGGAGGTACAGAGCAGCTCGGAAGTCTCTTGTTCCGGCCCTTCTCTGCTCTTTGACCCGAGGAGGCTGGGGACTTATAAAACCTTAGCCTGATGCAAAGGAAGTTGGGGGCTGTTAAACGTGGAAGTGATGGATGAGACTTGAAAACCTTTGGGCTTTAGCACCGCCACCACCATCTGCAGTGATGCCTTGGTGTTGTTGCACACCAACTAGATCACTGTGGGGTGTGCAACCTGCTATGACTTTGAAAAATACGGAGCATTGTGATGCATGTAATATTTCATAAACAATATTTCTGTCTTGCATTTGGCTGCAGACAAACAGAATCTCCCTCTCCCTACCCCTCCTCTGCTGCCTCCTCTCTCTTAATCCAAAACTCAAGATGAGAGAAAGAGGGTCCCTGAGCACTGGTGAAAAGAGAGGGGACTCTGACGGATATGAAAATAGAGGGGCCCAAGCAGGGAGAACAAGGAAGAGAGACCTAACTCCAGAGAAAATCTCAGTTCCTTTTTCTACAACTTTCCCATTATCGTCCAACCAGCATTAAAATCTGACTGAGTTAATATCGTATTATTTGGGAGAGGGTTAGAAAATTGAGTGATTTGTTAAAGTTCAGCGGGATGTAACGGTGGTATTTTGTGGATGTTTTGATCTGAATTGCTTTCGCTTCTCACTCAGTCAGATTTTGTTCTGGAGAGAAGTTGTTCCTGGAAGTTCAACAGAGAGAGAGAGAGAGAGTCACAAAGCAGCCTGAAAGCAGTGAAGCTTCAGACTGTCCGTGAAGTGGGGCGGGTGTTGGTGGGGCTTTAAAGTTTTCTATTCTGGAAAAGGAGTTCATGAGAAGTATCTGAGCAGAACTCTTATTAACAAGACATCTGATTGATAGTCCTACTAATTATGCAGACTCTGGATCTTTTAGTTGATAAGGTTTCCTGCTTTCATTTGCATTCCTCTCCCCAAGTATTCTATTTTTGGCTCATGGTGTGCACTTCTATCTAACTGCAGAACAAAGAAAGCAAATGGGTAGTGCAAGGTAAACAGTGATCAAACTTGAACAATGTAATAATCAGTTTAGGACACTCTGCAATCTGCCTTAATTTAACTGGCATGGAAACCTGCACTGAAAAAGAGAATCCTTCAGATTCATAAAGATCCTGTGGGAGGGGGAAAAAACCGAATGTTTTAAGGACCTTTAAAAACCTTAAAATACCAGTCTCCAAGCAAAGTTGCAGGGAGCCAATTCTGAAGCCAGATGAGAAATGTTTGAAGCCTGCGGTGGTCCGTCTAATCCCAACAACAACAACAACACTGATTGTGAAAAAGAAGATGAACCGCTGTGCAAGGAATGGAGGATTCTGCACAACCCTTTAAACTGGCAGACCGCTGGCTCACTTGACGAGCAAGGGTTTAAGAGGAAGAGACGGGACGCTTCAATCATCAGGGATGCCAAATTGGTTTCAATCCAGTTTGCAGGATTTGCTGCTTTAAAAAACGCTTCCTTGGTTCGGTTTGAATGCCCCAGTGCAGCTGGGTCACTGCTCAGCGCTGGCTTTTCACTGAGTTTTCCCTGTATGTAGTGGGGAGGGACCAGATCCTCCAAGCTAGGATGGTGAGGGAGAGGAGAGGCAAGGGTGAACTTGAGTCCAGAAAGCTTTTCCCATGCTGCAGGACTGGTGCCAATCAAACCCAGGAATGATTAGGAATCAGATTTTAGCCAGGAGCCTGGAAAGCATCTGGACTGGGACGTCCCTCAAGGGTGCTCAAGATGGTTGCTTGAAGTCTTGCAGAACTATTTACCGAGCATCTCTAAATACGTTTTTCTCCCTGCTGCTAGTGCCACAGATGGCAACCCACCACATTTGCGTATGCCACCGACTCCTCCCAACACAAAGCGGCTCTCAGTGCCTCAAAGCACAAAGCACAACAGACAGCATCTCAGGAATAAAGCTCATAAAAACCACAGCTCCCCCCCCAAGGGTCTTCCTCTCTGTATGTCTTTTGGGGCAGTTTAAACCCTTTTCCAAAGAGCACATCGGGGCGGGGGGCACATGGCTACAGAGGGGGGGAGGAGCTGCTCCAGAACCAGGGTTGTGCATGTTGAAATATGAGGGGCCATGAGAAGAAAATGGTGCCACTGCTTTCCTGAATTCAGACGCCTGTTGAGTTCTTCACCACCACCACCCTGGGACAAAAGCTGTAGATCCCCAAAGTCAGATTAAGCCACAACAGGAAATGATGGCAGAAATTCATAATGAGCTTAGTTAATAAGGGGAAAATGTGAAGCAAGCAGATGATGCAGACTGTGCCAGGAACGAGAGAGGGTGAAGAAATCTTCTGAGTAAACATAGTAACTTTATGAATTGGTACTGCTGAGCTGGTCAGAACTGGTTGGTCAGAGGGAAAACCAACATTTGAATGAACCTGGCTTGGCTGTTCCTAACTAACTGCATAAAATTTAGCTTAATGAAATTTGTGTGCATCTGTGTGTGCATTCATCTATAGTTTCATTCCATCTGTTTCTTCCGCTTTTTGGAAGATGTGCCCAATGAGCATGGTTTGTTTATTCCTAATAAAGGTGCATTTTGTTAACTTTCCCCAGCTTCTCAGTTGGTTCTCTTGAGACATTTCATGGGCACCAGGCGATGTAGCTGCTTCTAGTAATTCTGAAAGTGCCCTGAGTTTAAGGAAGCAGAGCTTTCATATCCTTCCAGCAATTAAAATCAGTGTTCTTCTAACTGGCAATTCAAACTAATACTTCATTAAATATATTTCACGAAATAAATCAAAAGGAGAAAATAAGAGTTTGCATGAGTGGTGTGCAACGAACATTTCAACCCTACTGAAATGCAGATTAAAAATGGCAGTATCGGGTTAGCCTTGAAAACGAAATTAATTTTAATCTTAATTTTAAAATACAAAAGAGTTTGGATTAAGAGAAATTTATGTCTGTGCCCACAAAGTTAAGTTTTAGATTTTTAAAATACTAATTAGGATGGTGTTCGTTTGTTTTTTTAAAAAAAAAGCCTTTCCAAAACTTAAAAAGGAAACTGTTGCTACTTCACTAAAATGTCTGGAAAAATATTGAATTTGAAATCTATGCTTATAACTTCTGTTTTGGGGTCGGGTGGTAACAGCAGGTGGCGAGAAGCTGTAGGAGGGGAATTTTTGTCAGAACGGTTAGTGGGAAAGAGAAAAGGTAGAGAAAATACAGTGGAAGAACTTGGTTCATTTTTTAAAAAGGCTTTCATTTTGTTTCATTTCAACTTATCTTCATCAAAAACCACCGCTTTCTGTAAGTCTTATCAACTTGCGCAGAGCTGCCAGGTGTTGCTGAGAGCTGGGTAGCATAAAAGTTTAGTAACTATATTTTATTTATTATAAATCAGGGCTATTTAAAACTCCTGCCCAAGTGATACGGATTTATTTATTGATCGAAAACTAGCATGAACATAGGCTGTGACTAGTCAGAGAGAGACAGAAATATTTTCCTTACTCTGCCAATAATTGTCTAAAATACTGTTCGTTCTGCTCCACCTTTGATTGCTGCTCAGGGCCCCCTGGCAATACCCGCCCTTCATGGCATAAATGAACCGCCTGGCTGACTTACCCTGCCTGCTGCCTTGGTTCTGCCCCGGAGGAGCTCCTGCGTTGAGCGGAGGCGGAAGGCGAAATACCCGCTTGTGGTCTCTCCTGCTTATCAAAAGAAACCCGTCCCTGACACTTTTCGCACCTTGGTCAGACACAGCTGTATTGTGGGAAGTCTCTCTCTCTCTCTCTCTCTCTCTGTGGCCCCAAACCACATCTGGAACAGCTCTGCCCCAGAAAGGCGCACTGTGTCTCTGCTGGAGGGAGGCTGCAGCCAAGTTCCCTGCAGGAGGAGTTTTCGTTTGGGTGAACACAGAGTTCCCTTTCAGAAGGGGCCATTCCCCTGTGTAACTCCCCACCACCAGATCTGGCCCAAGCGGTTCCTTAGCTTGCAGCTCTGGAAGGAGATCTGGGGCATGAAAGCAAAAGGGGAACCGAGCTGGGGTGGCCCAGTTCAGTGCCAGCTGCAGGTCTGGCTTTGGCACCCCCCCCAATCTCTGGCTGCCCCCCAACAGCTGGGTTTTGTTTCCGCAAAAGTCTTGACTTTTGCAGCCTTCCCCCCCTTTCTTGGCTTCAGCTGGGCTGCACTGGTTCCTGAAATGGCCTTTATCTTGCGTCCTGATAACCTTTGCCCTGCTGGCTGGGGATAATGGATGGTGTGGTCCGGCCAAGGGGCTCGGGGCACAGGGGAAGCGTGGCAGTCGGTGTCCCCCGGGGGCCCTTCTGGGGTTTTGCACAAGCCCAGGAAAGGGCCCGTCGGGGAAGGTGGAGATGCTGACAGGAACTGCCGAGTCAATGAATGTCTGCCGAGAGAGGCGGACGGGAGCAGCGCCAGGACCTCGACCCAGCGGGGCCATCATGAGGTAAATCGTACGGGGGGAAAGGCGGGAAAAAAGGAACCGCCCCTTTACTCTCACAGCAACCAATCGCAGCCCAGATCCCCTCCTGCGGGGGCCCGCTGCCGCCCACCGATTGGCTGCTTCCCCACCGCTCTTGAAAGCTGAACTGTCTTGACAAGGCCGAAAGAAACTCGCGTTGTGGGATCCACACAGGATTTATTTTATTTTGTTTTATTTCGATCCTCCCAGCACTGAAAAAAAAGTTTTTTTTTTATTTATTAATAGTTTGCCGATCTGACGTTTCTCTCCAGGGGCAGCTCCTGCACCCGCCCCCGGGCTCCGCGGGTGTCCCACCGTTGCGAAGGGGCACCCTCGGTGTGTTTGTGTGAGGATGGCGGACCCACAACGCCAGGGCCCGGGCAGGGCGCTCCCGCCTTCCGCAGCATCCTTCCGCTGCAGGCACCGAGGAGGCCGGGAGAGGAGCCGGGGGAACACGCGGCGCTCCCGCGGCCACGGAGCTTCCTCAGGCGGCTGGATCGGTTCCCGAGGCAGCCTGCGGAAGGGGAGCCTCTCTCGGATTGGGAGCCGGCCTCTTGGCCGAAGACCGGGCGCCTCCGCTGCTGCGCGGCCCAGACAGACCCCTTTAATCCCAGTCAGGGGGAAGGGGAGGACCTCCGTCCTACATCTCCCAGCAGCCCACAGCGCGCTCAGAAGGAATTGTGGGAAGTGAAGTCCTAGCGACTCTGCCAGCCTCAGCCCGCTCAAGCCAGGGCCCGGGCGCGCGCCCACCCCCCATCTCCCCCCGGGCTTCTCCGCCGCCGCCGCCGCCCCTCTCCACGACGGACGGGAAACGCGCCGGGAGGCCTTTTCGGTTCTTCCAGGGGGAAACACACACACCCCCCGCCGCAACATCTGGAAGCTGGATTCCAGCAGCAGCAGCCCACCCAAGACCCCTGGACACAATAGCGGAAGTGCGATGTGAGCCCTGGGATCTTCCCCTATGGGGGGTCTCCTGCTCCTGTACGTGGAGGCTCCATTTTGTACCGGGGGCTTCCAGCTGGGCCGTTGATCCCGCATCGCCCTGGGGTTCGGTGGGCAGCGGGCAGCTGCTTCCAGCTTGGAGGAAACTCTCCGAGGGGTGAGCCGCGCCAGCCTTCTGCAGGTGGCCTCTGCTCCTGCCCCCGAGCCCTGGCTTAGCCGTCGCCTGTCGAATGAGCCCCGGTTCCTTGGGATCGGCCGCCCTGGGCTGTCAATAATCTGCAAATCCGCCAACGTGCCCTAACGCGTCTGTTTTTTTAAAGAGACGGGAGGAGGGAGGGAGGGAGGGAGGCGCTCTCCGCTGCCCCCGCAGGGTCTCCGGGCCGGCTGCCGCTCTAAGAGACCGGGCTGAGCCCCGCCGAGGCTGGGGGGCGGCGCTGGGCTCGCCGGCTTTGCGGTAGCCGCGGCGGCGGAGAACGGGGAGCGCCTTGGCCGGGCGGGGGCTGCGCGGCGCCTCCCCGGGAGCAGGAACTGTGCGGGAGCTGGGCTAAGGCCCGTCGCCCCGCCCCGCCCGCCCGCCCGCCTGCCTGCCTGCCTGCCTGCCTGCCTCTCGGGCGGGTGTGTGCGAGGCTGCCCGCCTCTCCCCCCGTCTGCAGCAGAGGGAAAGGATCGGCTGTTGCTCCGTCGAAGCCGCCGCCGCCTCCGTTCGGGCGAGGGGGTCGCCGCGGTGGGCGGCCTTGCGTTCTGCAACTGCGCCCCCCNGGAGGGGAAGAAAGGGGGGGAGGGGAGAAAGGGGACGGGGGCTGGGCGCCCTCCCCCTCGGCCGGCGGGGCTGCCCAGGGGCTGGCAGCCTTGGGGTGGCCGAGGTTTCCTTGCACTATTTGTCCAGGGGCTTAGGGAAGGGTCCCGCCGAGCAGCTGGGGTGGGCGTCCGAAGACCCCCTCCCAATCTCTCTGCTTCCACACTGTGGGGAAGGGGTCTGCTCGGAAGACCCTCTGCCGCTCGCTGGAAGGGCAGGAGGGGAGCTGGAGGGCTCGGCCTTTGTTGGAGGGGGTGAAATGCCGAGAGGGCCAATCGGGGCTCGAAATTCCCCCCCCCCCGTTGATGATGGCATTTGGAGAGCCTGCAAAGAGGCTGGGCGGAGGGCTGCCTCCACCTGTCCCCCAAAGGTGAGCCGTCCCTGCCGGCCGCCCTTCCCTCCCCTTTCCAGGTCAAGGGTGGAAGAGGCTTCAAAGGCCTTTTTGTAGAAAGAGACAGAAATCCGCAACAGGTCCTGGTGGGGTATCCTGAGCCTCTGAGCCTTCCCCAACTTCCTCTGGCTTGGAGATGGGGCAAGGAAAGCCCATCTCTGTCAGACAGCCAAGGTGTTGGGAATCATGGAAGTTGTAGTCCAGCACATCTAGAGAGCAACCAGGTGGGCCAGTTTGTGGGTTGTTTCCCAGCCCTTAGAGATGATAAGGGGGGCCGGGGCCGGTTTTGTCTGAACCAGGGTTGTCGGAATAAAACCCTGGCGGTGTCCGGCTTCATGTGGAAGGCAAAGCCAGAGGCAGGAGGGTCCCCCAATTGTGCTAAGCTGAGCCAAAAGCAGTTCAACTCTGTTGTTGACACAATTTTATCTCTGCTCCCCTATTTAAAAATAAACCTGGCATTTATCCCTCGTTAGCACCAGCCTCGCCAGGGGAGGCTTGGTTCTCGCTTTGCAAGGCGCTTTGCAATCTGTGTGGTGCTCCCAGCTGCCTGGCATCTGCCTTTCAGGAGCTCTGCCCACTCCCTGGCCTGTGGGACTCACGGCCACAGGTCCTGCACTGGCATGAATCATGATGCTAGTTGTGGAGAAAACTGTCCTTTCCTGCGGTAGCTAATTGTGCCGTCCTATCGTCTAGGAGGGGGGTATCCTCCTCATGGTGGGTGGGGGTTTGGGGCAGCGAGGAGTAGGAATCCCCCTCCTGTTTGCTGGAGGAAGTTAAGCTCTTCACTGGCATAAGAGTGGTCAGGCAGAGGCATCACCAGGCTTTAAGGCACCAGGCTGGCATGGAGGCGGGGCACTGGCATTTGCTCTCCTGCCCTTTTCCTGTTGAGGGACGGAGGCCGAAGCCTGCAGGGAGCTGACCAAGAGAGTTAGGGGCAAAGCGCAGAGACGCTCCCCAAAGTTATACGAAGGCCGTGATGTTACGTGAGCTCTGCAGGGTTTATCATCTGCAGCCCTTTTGTGGGGCAGCTTCATCCGTGGCTGCTGTGGGGTACAGCCAGAGCTTGAAAACCAGAATTGCAGTCCATAATCCAGGAGGGGATTCCTCCACCTGTGGAAATCAGCACCTGCTTGGTTCTTCTCCCCCCAGCTCAGGACCAGGGCTCCGATTGCGCAGTCTGGGGCTACCCAGGCACCCTAGATGTGCAGGGGGTGTGCAGGCATTCTTGTGCCACCCAGGGCTGGGGGGTGTCTTTCATCCCCCCCCCCTCTCTGCTGCATGATGATTAGACCATTAAAGAGGTTTCTGTGTGGCCAGCCTCACGGAGGCAGCTTGATCTGGGGCCCTTCTTAGGAAAGGGCTGGAGGAAGCCCTGGATGGGATTTTGGTGTTTAGAGCCGGGGCATCCCTGGGTCATTTGTTATCTTGGGGCAGCTTGATAGCCTTGCAGAGTTTGGCTGCTTCCTCTGGCATCGCTTTCTCTTTATCTTTGACCTCCCTCTGAACAATTCAGCAATCTGCCCGTTCTTGGAACCGTCATTTCATTTGCGGCCCTGGCTCCTGTCCTCTGCAGAAGAGAGAGAGCCTCCCCGGTGCTTGGCTCCCCTCCCCCTAATTTATGCCCATGGTAATGTGGAGGATCTGGCTAAGCCCTCTGCAGCAGCAGCAGCAGCAGCACCACTGGCTCAGCAGCTTGGGGGGGGGGGGCTGTTCGTATAAATTCTGCAGAAGCTTCTGCTGCGGAACAGCCGTTTGCTCCCTTTCCAGCGGAGAGGCTGGATTTCAGCTTCCTGGGCAGGGATGTGGCCCCTGGCAGGAAAGCCCAACCAGGGCTTGGAGAGGAGACCTTGCAAAATCTCCCTGGTCTTGAGGAGACAAAACAGTTCCCCAAAGGCAGGGGAGGCTTTTGTGTGGATGCTGACAAACCTTGCAGGGCTGTGTCCATTTTGACACCAAGAGCTGGGCTGGGCCTGACCCAACGGAGAGCTCCTTCTTTAGCTCTGGCCAGATAATAATAATAAAAAAAAAACCTGTGCTTTTTCTGGAACATTCTTCTGTTTTTGTTCCTTTTCTATTGGAGGCCCTCCTGTCTCTGTGTTGCATAGCAAAATAGACGAACCCTGTCGGTAAACTGATTTTCCTAAGAACAGAGCAAACAAAGTTTGTGTTGGGAGAGAACCTGGTTCCCAAAGCTGGCTGGGGAATTCTGGGAAGGGAAGTCCAGCCATCTTAAGAGTTGCTGCTCTAAAGGGAGTGGCTGCATTTAAGCCCCTTTTTTTTGCCCCCCTCTAGGAAATCAGGCAGGTTGGGTTGAACAATCCGCATAAAGCTGGTGCAGCCTCAAAGGAGAGACTCCTAGTCTGGCCAGACTTTGGCTAAATTTGGGGCGGGGGTGTTCACTCCCCCCCTTTCTGTACAAGCTCCTGCTGGATCCTGGTGAGAGGAGCAGAGAAGAGGCTCTCACATAGACGTGTCACATGTCTCCTGAGCATGGCAAATGTTGCTGGATTTTATTTACCTCCAGGGTCTTTAAAGGATCTCCTTGCTTTCAGATCCAGGTGAGGGGAGAAAAGCTGCCCTGAAGAGTTTGGGAGCTATGTCTCTGTATGATGAGGCCCCCCTCTATTGCTCCTCTCCTGGGGTCCCCCCGTCTGGTCCAATCTGGGGGCCAGAACAGCCTGGTCCCACTTGGTGCGCATCAGCCCAGATGGGTCTTTTCTTAGTATGCTGGTCTGTTTACAGAGACCTTGCAGATCTGAAGCTCGGTTAAGGGACATCTGGCGGGGGGGGGGGGGGGAGAAAGCCCTTTAGTTGCAGCTTTGACACAAACCCACACTCAGCTGTGGGTCTTTCCATTGTTCTTCCTGCTTGAAAAGGAGAGATTTTGCTGGCCTGCTGAAGCTGACCTCCCCGCCTGGACAAAGGGGGATTTGTCCACTAGGACGTCAACGCCACCTCGGCTGTGAGTTTCTGGGAAGCTTCTGAGAGCTGCTGGAAGCATCTTCTCTGTTTGATGCATGGATTTTCTTTGCCTGCCGTCCTCCCACCCACCCACCCACCCACCCACCCTCCTGCTCTAAAGCTAGGAACAGGGTGGGCAGTTCTGCTCATCTTTTAATCCTCTTGTCTTGTGCATGAAAATCTGGGGAGGCAGAAGCGAGGCGACTCTCTTGCAGCTTTTGACTATGTGCTGAAGATAGAGGGAGGGCTAAAGGCTCATGTAAGCAAAAAACAAACAAACCCCAACCCTGAGTAGAATAGCAGCTGTTTTTTTGGAGGCCATGAATAAAGTTGCAGATTTTAATTTTAGGCACTCAACTGGGTGTCATGCTAGGCATCCACCCACCTTATCTTTGGGCAGCTGTTCCACTAGGCACATAACTTGAGCTGTGCAGATCAATTTCCTCCCTCCCCCCCCCTTATCCCATGCTTTTTATCTTTAAGTTAGAGGGGAAGGGGGCTAAGAAGAAAAAGCCCTGCCTTTTAATCTCACTTAAAGCAAAGCACCCTTTAGACTACAGGAGAGAGAGGCAGTTTGTTGTTGTTTGATGCAGAATTCATATATTTAGAAACAGGCACAGATTTGTTACAGGATGTGTTTTAAAAGTTGAAAAGAAAATACTTTGTAATTAACTCTGAGGCTGGACATTCTATGGTGATGAAATCTTTTCAGATCCATCACTCTGGGGCTGGTGAGGAAGCGGCCAGGCCAGCTTCGGATCCCACGCGGGGAAGGTCTCTCTTTCCTCACACGGTGTGGGGTCTCTAGGCAGGACCCTCGTGGTCACATCCCTGACGTTTCTCACAACTGAAGGCAAGGAGGCTGCTTCCCCCGGCAGGGTGGCTTTTGACACAATGAGGCACAAAGAGGCTTGGATGGTGCAAACTGCTGGGTGCTACTCCCGCTGGGGGGGGGGAGACTTTGAACTGGTCCTTTTGTTCTGGGAGTTCAGCTCTTTTCATCCAGCCAGTCATTTCCTTCTCAGCAGTGAAGGCAACCAGGGGAGGCACACACCTGCCTTGCCTCAGGAGGGCAGGTGGTGCTTGGTGGCATGGCGAGAGATTCCCACGGGGGGGGGGGAACATGGGGCCATTCTGTTTGGCAAGTGACTGCCAGGGGCCCAGCCCTCCTTGCCTCTGCCTGAGAAGCTGCCCGCAGCTGCAGCAAGACCGGGGAGCTGCCCAGTGTTGCTTGCCTTGGGGATCCGGGGCAAAGTCATAATTTACCAGGAACTCTTTGATTTATCAGTCCGGAAGTGAAAGAGAGGGAGAGGTGGGCAGGGAAACAGGCCAGAAAAATGGCATTTCACCCCCAGCAAGAACACTAACAGGAGAAAGAGCATTAAAAGCCAGTTTGCACCTGCGTGACAGTTTTTTATTATTGCCGAAGGTGCCAAGGACAAATCCGATGCCTCCAGTCTGATCCTCCCCTTCCCAGACACCTGGCTAGGCCGGTGTTTCTCCACTTTGGCGACTTTCAGATGGGTGGGTTTCCACTCCCAGAATTCCCCAAGCAGCAAGCTGGCTGGGGAATTCTGGGAGAGAAAGTCCCTGCCTCTTGGTGTTCTCATGACTGAGAAACACTGCTCTAGAGTTTAGTCAGTTCTCCGAAGCGTCCGAATTCATCCCGGCAAGCTGCTTGGGGAATTGTAGTCCACACATCTTAAAGTTGCCAGAGGGGAGAAACACTAAGAGAGGCAGCCCCTGAGTGTCAAGATCAGCCGAGTATAATCTGTAGGTCAGTGTTTCTCAACCTTGACCATTTTAAGGCATGTGGACTTCAACTCCCAGAATTCCACAGCCAGCATTGCTGGCTGTGGAATTCTGGGAGTTGAAGTCCACATGCCTTAAAATGGTCAAGGTTGAGAAACACTGCTGTAGGTGGATTTCTCTAGTCCTCTTCCCGTGTCGGTTGACGGTTGTTAGCCCATGTTTTGCCACTCCGAGTTTTGCAAGAAGAAGAAAGGAGGAAACCAGACCATCCTTTTACTGCCCATGACTTTCACTGGGGGGGGGGGGAGGAGGCGCTCCCTCTAGCTCCTTCCTCCCAGCCCTGCACAGTTGCATCACAAGCTGTGTTGTCGTCTTCTGCTAAACAGCCACACACACACACACACCCCGCCCTTTCCTGATAGGGCACAGGTGAGTCTGGTAAACACTCCTGGGAGGAGTGCAGAGCCAGGAGCCTAGGCGGCAGCGGCACCCGAGAGCCACGGATTTTTCCGGAAAGAGCTGAGAAGTGCCTGGTGGACCTTTGTCCCATTTGGTCATTGCAAAAGAAAAAAAAAGAAGAAAAGAGGCTGCCAGGCAGCTGCCAGCCGGCCTGTCCTTTAGCCCACAGAGAGCCTACGTGAGCCTACGTGGGATGTGGAGGGAAGGAAAGAGAAAAGGCCTGTTTATCCAGCTGAGCAGGAATAGTCTCTTTCTGCTCTCCGTTTTCCACAGATCCTGCTCCTCTTCCAAGGAGGGGGGAGAACTTTCCCTCTGGGAGACTCAAAAGCAGAGGGGGCGGGGATGAGTGGGGAGCCCCTCCCATTGCTCCTCTCCGTCACCATCTTTGGGGAAGGGTGGCAGGGGTTGGATTTGCAGGGTTTTGGGTGTGTGTGTGCGAGCAGGGTCTGAACCCAGTTACTGTCGAGGGGTGATTCACTCCGGCGGACAGAACGGCGTGCCTGCTTGCAAGGCAAACCCGGATTTGGTTTCTATGGAAACGTAGCAAAGAGGATCTTCTTCATAAGGCTATTTTTTCAAAAAAAAATAAAATAAAAAATAAATTGCAAAGAGATCCAAAAGGGAAGGGGGGGAGCAAACTGGATCAAAGGCATGATCCACTTGCCCCCTCCCATAAAGGGCCAGCGGGGAGCCTCCCCTGCGCAGGTACCCCCCTCTGCGAAGACTGGGCAGGGCTCTCTGCCCCCCCCCCCGGGGTTGTGTATCTTTCCTTTCCCCCTTTCGGTTGTTGTGTGTTAACAGGAAAATTCTCTGTTGCTGGGACACTTCGATGTTTTTAACTGTTGAGGCAGTGGTTATTGCTGCAATTTTGCCCAAGGAAATCTCTCTGCAAGTATACAGGCAAAGACTTCCTGGATTCCAGAGTCACAAAGAAGGAAATAATAACGTGTGAAATAAATACTCTGCTTTGGGCTGCGGTAAAGCAGCCCCGTCTTGCAGGGGTTTGGCCCGAGGGTCGCTCACTCGGCCTGGAGAGCCAGGTGGGCTGCGGGCAGCACCACCCTCTTTGCCTGCCCTTTTCCAGTTGGCCAGCTTGAGCAAGGAGCCGTCCCAGGGTCCAGGTGTGGCTTCCCCCTCTTCGGTCTGCCTCAGCACTCCCCAGTTGGTCCTTGGGACGCCCCAGGTGCCGATGGCCCGAGCCCTTCGGAGGGACGATGCCGTCCGGCACCTTCCACTGTAAACACCACCAGGCGTGGCAGCTTCCTTCCAAAATGTTAATGGCTGAAGGCAAGACGGCCATTCTGACGCCCGAATGCTTGGCGCTGCCTGGTAGAAACCAACTAATAAAACAGGGCTCATGTTTCTGGTGACAAAGTGACAATTGTGAGCTTCCCATCAGTAAACAAAGGAGGAGGGAGCCATTGGGGAGACGGCTGCCCTCCCTGGAGGAAACGTGCCTTGTGGCTTGACTCGGGTTGGGCGTGAGAAGCTGGTGGATCTGAAGCCCGAATGCGTCTCTGCCCTGGGCCTTTCCCAGCAGAGGAAGCTTCTCATTGGTACCTGGCCAAAATGTTTCCCTGCATGCTCCCCTTTTCATTTTCAAAAGAGAATTTCAACCTCCTCTGAGTGATCTCCAGGCGGGATACGAAGATCCTCCTCCCCCCATGTTCTTTGCATGTCCCTCCAGGGAGCTTCCTTAGTGTGGGAATCTGGCAGGGGAGGGGGGGACTCGGTTGCTCAGGTGTGGCCTCCCGAGTTTCAGGCAGCCTCCAAGGAAGGCTAGGACTGTGGTGCTGAAGCCTCCCCCCCCCCGGGTCCCCATTTTAGGAAGGCCTCTTTAAGTCAACAACTCCGGGGAAGAACCAGCCGGTCAGTCGTGGCCAAGGGCACCTTTACAGGTGGACCCTTCTGAGGAGAGAAAGGGGTCACTTCTGTTGGGTCTGGAGGGGAGGCAGGCGGTGTTCGGAGCTGCCCTAAGCATGAAGAGCAAAATGGGGGTCCAGGTGGGCAGACGGGGTAGGAAGGGGTGCTGGAGGGGTAGGAGGGTCTGAGTGGGGATCTTGCTCAACGATGCTCCCTCCCTCCCTCCTTCCCCATTTTCACAATACTTTGAATGCTCCATTGCCCGGCATCCTGGGCTTGCACTAGTTAACCTCACTCAAACAGAACAAACATGGGATGTTGCCACCAGAAGAGCTGGAGCGTTGTGTGTTTCGAATCTAGGTCAGTGAGTCAGGAGGCCTGGTTGGCATTCCCAGGTTGTCGTCCTGATCCACTTCCACCCCCTTGCTAGCAAAGGGGCGGGTGACTTGGGGGAGCCTAAGCCACTCTCGGATTTGGGAGTCCTCGTCAGCCTGTTCCTTCGGCACAGAAGATGCCAGCGGGGTGCCTGTGTCACCCCCTTTGCCTTCCAGCCAGCTCCTGGGCAACGGGGGGCTCTGCCTGGAGGTCTCCCCCTGGCCTTCGACTCATCCAAGCTCTTTCTCCCCCCCCCCTCCAGTGGGTGCTCTCCTTCGAAATCTTCATCCCGCTGGTGCTCTTCTTCATCCTGCTGGGGCTGAGGCAGAAAAAGCCCACCATCGCAGTGAAGGAAGGTAAGCCCCTGGCTGCCCGGAGGAATCTGGTAAAACGGGTGAGTCTTCCCCGATGGCCGCAGGCACAAAGTCCACAGGTGAAGCCTTTCACCCAGTGGCAAGAAGGCCTCCCCGGGAAGACAAAGCCCAGCGAGGGAGGCTGCGCCCTGGAGTGAGCCCGCTGTCCCTGCCGAAGACGTCCTAGCTCAGAGGGAGGGGCTGCCTGGAGCGAGCCCGCCTGGTGCAGAAACTCCTGCAGAGATGCAATGGGCAGCCTCTCCCCAGAGCGGCTGCCCCAGCCAAGCCAGATGGCAAGGGTGCTGGCTTTGGGGCCTCCCCAGGAGTCCCAGGGGCCACGGGGGCCGGGAAGGGATTCCCACGCGGTTGCAGCTGATCAGGGTTTGTCTGAAAGGAGCCAACCTCCTGCAACCAGGCAGGGTCATCCGACTTAATTGAGCCCCGTTGCAATTGGGAGCAACCTTCAGGTGCCCCCTTTGGTAATGCCCCCTGGCCCAGGGGAAACGGCCCAGACTGCCAGTTCTGCCCTCTGAGGCATCATGGCCATGATCTGCCCGATTTGCTTTGAGGTTTGTTTTTCTTTTGTTTCTGAAATGTTTTTTTTTCTTCTTTCCCCCCCACTCTTATTTTGCTTTTCTTTTCTTTTCCCCGACCTGACTTCTTTTGCGCCTGTGTTACCTCTAGTCTGTAAGTTGGTTTCCTTTGGGCAGCAGCCACGTCTTCGGGAGGCTGTTTGCCCCCTAGTTGACTAACATTGTTTTAATCCTGGCTTTCCCCAATCTCCTGTCACGTTCGTAGCCCTCCCAGTCATGGTGGCGGGTAACCTTTGGGGGTGCCACAGGGGCAGAAGGTCCTCTGCAAATTCAGAATCCAAGGCCCTTCCCTAAACACCACCAGCTCCTTTGCAACTTTGGGAATCGCAAAACCCTCCAAAATCAGGGCAGCCCCCCAAAAAGGCCGCAGAGGGTTATTTGCCACCATTGCGATCCACCTCCCTCTAGATCCATACCTAGCTTGTTTATTTCCGCCCCCCCCCATCCTGCTTTCTTTCCTGCAGTTGATCAGAGTTGGGCCCTGGAGGGTGTTACGTGGCTTAATTCCCTCCTGCCCCGCCTAGACCATCCTCCCCGTCTTTTAAACTTGCCCCCTAGGATGTGACTAACAGGTTGTCCAAAGCCATCTGCCTTTGGCCATGGGGGGTGAAAGGTCACTGGTTTCCTGGCTTCTGAGCTGGATGGGTCACCAACTCAGGCGCTTGCAGAACCGCCAATGCCCCCCGACACGGAAGCACCGGACAATAAACACAACTAGATCTCGGTGCATGTTTGTTGAGAGACTAATCGTTCTTCTGAGTAAACCTTTCCTGGAGGGAAATGGTCGGATCAAGCTGCGTCTTTTGAAATCTCTGGAGATCCTGGAATTCAGGCCGGACATTTAAAGTCCAACTTTTTATTGTCTGAAGAAGGGCACCTAGAGCTCTAAAACAAAATTGTAATATTTTTTTTTTTTAAAATTGAGTTACGGCAAATTTATCTTTGCGGATTGGTTTTAAACCTCGTAATACTGGGGGAAGGTTTTGTTTTGGCTCCAAATTCCACTTGAGAAGAGGCTGCCAGCAGACTGGAGTTCCGCCTTGGGACAGACACGATGCCAGCTTGGTTGTGTGCAAAGGACCAGCTTCTCCATGCTGGTGTTCTCCTGAGGTGCTGGACTACAGAACCCATACCCCCTTGCCAAGTGTCATGGGCCATGTGATCCAGGGCATCTCAAGAGCACCCTTAGCTTGGAGAAGGCCAATTCTGAGGGGGAATTTGATAGAAGGACCGCTGACCTTTAACCCTCTGAACTGTCCCTCTGGCTAACTGGAAGGAACTCCCCCAAACTGATCTGACTTTCACACTGCTCTCCGAACTGGTTGTGGGTCTTCTTACACACCCTGTCAGGTTTCCACCCACCCCTCTTTTCTCACACTCTTCCTTCTCTAGCTTACTACACAGCATCGCCCCTCACCTCGGCCGGCATCCTGCCCGTCATGCAGTCCCTGTGCCCCGACGGGCAGCGCGATGGGTTCGGCTTTCTGCAGTACTCCAATTCCAGGTGGGTCCGCACCCCAAACGCCCCGGTTTCCGGCATTCCTGACAAAGGTGGTTGGCGGCCGGAGAGAGGGGCTTCCCGAGGGAAAAGGGCCTCCTTGGCCCCTCCGAGGCCCCTGGAGCCCTTCAGGGAGGCATCGGTCACCCTTCCAGTTGCAAGGGGGGAGTTTTGGCTGTCGTATTTCCAGAGAGCAAACGTGGGCAAGGCTGGGCAGACTTCAGGCTGTTTTCTCCACCAACTCTGGCAAGGGCAAAGGGCTGAAGGAAGCCAGGGCACCTCTCAGGGTGCCCCCCCCCCCGTTCACACATGCCTCCTCCCCCCCCCATCTTCCGTGCAGGGTGACCCAGTTGCTGGAGCGGCTGAATGAGGTGGTGGAGAAGAGCAACTTGTTCGACCCGGATCATGCCGGCCCAGAGGAGGAGTTGGAGTCTCTCCGGCGCCACCTGGAGTCTCTCGGCAGCAGCAGCAGCAGCAGCGGGCCCAGCGCGGTGGAGACCCAGTTTGCCAGCCACACAGGTGGGTCGGGGTCCTCCCCTGTGGGGAAGGGCAGGCCAGGATGCAGCTGCTTGTCTCTTCTGGTTGCCCGAAGGTTGCTGCGTCTGGGGACACGCCGAGCTGCTGCCCGCCTGAGGGTGGGCTCTCTCCCTGTGTGCGCTCCCTGCCCTGCCCTGTCTCCCCCTCCCCATTTACCTCCTTTTCCTCCTTTCTTGGCAGCCCCCGGCTTCTCCCTGGACGCCATCGCCAAGGACAAGACGGAGCTTCACCGCTTCCTCATGCAGAACCTCTCCTTGTCCAACGAGACGGTGGGGCTGCTCACGGGCTCCAGCATCAACCTGAGAGAGGTTGGTGGGGGAGGAGGGGGGGAGAGGGTGTCAGCTGCAGGCACAGACCTGGGGGGACAATCAGGCTGCAGGCCTGGAGGGGAGGGGAGGGGAGGGAGTTGCAGGGGGTCAAAGATTGAGAGTTCTCTCTGTAGGTCTACCGGCTCGTCTTTGGCATGTCTCCCGGCTCTGCCGATGGCTTTGGCCCAGTGGACAAGCGGCATCGCCCGGAGGTGAGGCTTCGTGTTGCTGGTCATGGCAGGTGGGGGAGCGGAGAGGGAGGATGGACAAGGGGCTGGCTGGGGCGATAGGTGGACTCTGGCTGGTTCAAGAAAGGGGGGGGGGCGAATGGATTGTTCCCGTTTGGTCCAAAAGCCCGGTCCGTCTGTCAAAGACTTCGGGGGGGGGGAAAGCATTGCGATAACCGAGGCAGGGAGGGGGCCGGTGGTGTGTAAAAGCCCCAAGGAGAGGGGGATGAAGCCGCAGAGCCTGAAGGGCATCAGCCGGATTTGGAGGGTCTCCAGTCCCACTTCTCCACTCTTCCCCTCCCCAGAAAAACTTCCTGGGCAGCCTGAAGATGATGGAAGATGGGCTGGTCCGGCAAGCGCTGCGACACCCCCTAAAAGGCGCCCAGCGGAAGGCCATCCTCCGGCTCTTCTCCCACGCCATGGGCCTGGCCAGCCCCATGGCAGAGACCCCCAGCTCCGACAGCCCACAGTCCTTTGTGAGAGACGTGGAGGTGAGGGGGCCAGGAGGAGGCCAGCTGGGGGATTGGGGAGGGGGCTTCAGGAAGGCAGGGAGGGGGCAGCCACCGGCCTCCCCCAGCCCCAACAATCCACTGTGCCATCACGGCCGGTCTGCTTGCCTGGGGGTCCCGACTGGGCCCTCTGGCCATTCCTTCGGTGACCACAATTGCTTCCTTCCCCCCCCCCAGAACATCCTCTTCACCCCCCCTGTGCTGGAGAACCTGACGTGTGGCCAGAGCCAGGACGAGCTGAGACGCATCCTGGTCATCCCGGAGAGCCAGCAGCCTCTCCTGCGGGCCTATCGCACTGCTGTCTGCAACCGGAGCTCCAACCTCCGGGCCGACTACTTCAGGCAGCTGGCCGTGGAGATGAAGGACCAGCTGGAAGCCGGCAAGGTGGTTGAACAGGTGAGGTGGGCAGGGGAGACTCTTCTGCACTCCCCAGCCCTCGGGCATCCTCCTCCTGCCCCGAGAGCCTCATCTCCGCGTCCGGTGCAGGGTCGGGATGGGCACGGACTGCCGAGAGCAATTGCACCCGAGGAGGAGGAGGAGGGGGGAGGAGGAGGAGGAGGAGCTCCTCGGCTGCAACCAGATCTTTCACCCTGCAGCTGAAGCTGGACGAGGTGAACCACACCCTGACCCAGAGCCGCCTCCATGCCCTGCTGGAGGACCTGATGGAAATGGAGAAGGTGCTGAAGGACCTGGACATCCTCTCTGCTCTGGCTAAGCTCCTCCCCAAGGGGGCCTGTGTCGCAAAAGCGCCCCCCATCGCCCCCAACAGCACCGGCTCCGCTGCAAATTTTACCTCTGGCACCAATTCCAGCTCCGAGGAGGGCAGGGCCGAGAGCGAGTCTCCGGCCGAGGATCCCCAGGGGCAGTGCTCGGCGTTCGTGCAGCTCTGGGCCGGCCTGCAGCCCATCCTCTGTGGGAACAACCGGTGAGGGCCCCGGGTGTCTGGGCTTTCCTTTGGGGTCAGGGTCCGGAGCGGCCTGGAAGCCGCTGCTCAGAGCCGGCGCGGGCGGGCATGCCGGTGACCTTCGGAATCTGACCTTTCAGGACGATTGAGCCTGAGGCGCTCCGGCAGGGGAACATGAGCTCTTTGGGCTTCACCAGCAAGGAGCAGCGCAACCTGGGCCTCCTGGTGCACCTCATGACCAGCAACCCCAAGATCCTGTATTCGCCCGTTGGCACCGAGGTGGACAGGGTCATCCTGAAGGTGGGCAGAGGGCAGGAGCGGGCAGAGGGCTTCTGCATTCGGGCTTTTGCTCAGTTGATGCGTCCAGGGATGCCTCCTGCCCTCTCCACAAATGTAACACACACACGCACACACACACACCTGGGCATCTCCACTTTTGTGTATTGACCTTTGGAGAATCACAGCAAGCGGAGTCTCCCCCGTGCTCCCTCCGCTGCCCTGCCTTTCCCTGAGTTGCAGAGAGATTTATTTTCATCCGGGGGGAGAGGGGGACTCGGCACCCAAAGGAAATTGTCCTTCCCTTGAATATCCCCCCTGCAAAGTCCTTGAGGTCTCCTGCTTACCCCCCCCTCCCCGCACTACAGGCCAACGAGACCTTCGCCTTTGTCGGGAACGTGACGCGCTACGCCCAGGTCTGGCTGAACATCTCCGCTGAGATCCGCGGCTTCTTGGAGGAGGGCAAGTTGCAGCAGCGGATCGTCTGGCTGCAGCAGGTATGGGGGGTGGGCATTGGCTTGAGCCCCCCACCCCACCCTGGGCAGCAGGGAAGAGGGCTGGCGAAGGGAATATGGATTCCGCCCAGCTCAGCTGAAGCCAGAGAGGAAGGGGCTGCCAGCTCTCACAGCCTGCTCTGTTTGCCCCCCCCCCAGATGGCGGAAGATCTTCACAGGCACCCCGAGATCCTGAACGTCTCTGACAGCTCCCTCCTCCAAGCCTTCATGGAGAGCAACCTGTCCCTCTCCAACACCAGCACTCTTCTGCAGCAGCTGGACACAATCGACAACGCTGCCTGCGGCTGGATCCAGTTCATGTCCAAGGTGGGTCTCGCTGGACCTCCTCTTGGACGAGAAAGTGAAGGGTCAAGCTGGGCTCCTCCCTGGAGATCTCGCGGTTGGAAAGTCAAGGAAGGAGTCCCAGAAGAGGGCATGGCCCTCTTGAAGATTTGAAGGGTATTTTTTGGCATGGGGCCGTTCTGTAAAAAGTCATGGTTTGAAAAAGCAAGAAAGGATTTAAGATTCAGATGGCTTAAAAATGCAAACTGCCAGAATAGGCCTTTTTCTCAGAAACTCAGGGCAGGGGCTGCGGGATTTTCTGAGCGCCTCTGTCTCTGTCCCCAGAGGCAGGGATCATCTCGACTTCCTCGGCTCTAGGGTGGTCACACACACACCCCGGGACTGGGGCTGCCACAGGCAGCCTCCCCTCTGGGGGGACCCTGATTATGGGGAGTCCAAGCGTCTCACTCGCACCTGCCTTTCCCCAGGTCAGCGTGGACATCTTCAAGGGCTTTCCGGATGAGGAGAGCATCGTGAACTACACTCTGAACCAAGCCTACCAAGACAACGTCACCGTCTTTGCCAGTATGGGCCTCACATCTTCCACTTGAGTACTGGGACCAGCAGTTGGAGCACTGGGGCTTCCGGGGAGGACTGGCCTCACTGTAGTGGGGGGGGGGAGGAAGAGTTCCTAGAGGTGGCCTTCTAACACCCATAATCCCCAGGATTGGTGGAAGAGGAAGGGTGGCACCAACGGCTTCAGCACTGCGGACAGCTCCTAGCCTATTTATATTGCAGTTTGCCAACCTTGTCAAGTATTGAGATGTGCAGGTGTCCACTCCCGGAATTCTGGGAGGTTGAGCCTGCTGACTGGGAATTCTGGGAACTGAAGTTCACGTGTCTTAAAGATGACAAGGTTGAGAAACACTGGTGTGTTGACGTCCTGATTGCAGAACGTTGCGTCTCAGAGCTCCTGTGTGTAAGGCTAATGCAGTAGGTGCCGTAGAGAGATAGAAATATGGATTTATGGGTACGTTGACTTGAGAGCCCACCTATTATTTTAGAGAAGATGGCCTGTTGGTTGAATGCCTCATCCCAGGTCAACACCTGACCCCCTTTGGGGCCGAGCCAGTGTGCTTGCACTTCTGTCGCCTCCCTTGTGGACTGTCTCCTTTCTCCTTTGCCTCCCAAAGGTGTGATCTTCCAAACCAACAAGGATGGCAGCCTCCCTCCTCACGTCATGTACAAGATCCGCCAAAATTCCAGCTTCACGGAGAAGACCAACGAGATCCGGCGGGCGTATTGGAGACCCGGGCCGAACAACGGGGGCCATTTCTACTTCCTGTATGGCTTTGTCTGGATCCAAGGTGAGCCCAGCGGGCTTCTTCAGGGCCTGAAGAGACGGTCCCTTTTGCTGTCCCACGTTCTGTGAAGGGGTCTCCTTCGGCTGTGGGTTAACTAAGCGCACACGTCAGCAACAGTTCCTTGCCCTTCGTTTTTGTTATCCGTGCGCTGTCAAGGCGAGTCACCTCTGGGGGCCACAGCGCTAGCCCTCGCAGCCGGAAGAAGAGATGCCCTGAGAAGCATCGGCATAAACCTCAATGCTTCTCTCTTTCCACAGACATGATGGAGCGCGCCATTGTCAACACCTTTGTCGGCCGTGATGTGGTGGAGCCTGGCAATTACGTGCAGATGTTTCCCTACCCCTGTTACACCCGTGATGAGTGAGTCCCCTTCCCGGCCTTGGGACGTGGCGCTCCCTGGGAGAAGGGCAGAGAGGGTCTCTTCCCTGGGGGAAGGCCAAGGAGGCCAAGGAGAAGGCCCAAAGTGCTGTGCTCCAAAGAGGAGCTTCTGTCGGCCTGGCCCTTGACCCACTCACTCCTCCCTCCCTGGGGGGGGGGCTCCTGGGCTGTGGACGAGGCTCCCCTTTCCCCTTCCTCCAGCTTCCTGTTTGTGATCGAGCACATGATGCCCCTCTGCATGGTCATCTCCTGGGTGTACTCGGTCGCCATGATGATCCAGCACATCGTGGCGGAGAAGGAGCATCACCTGAAAGAGGTGAGGCTGCAGGACTGCTGCCCGAGGCCAGAAAGAGACCCAGAGGCAGGCAAGGAAGGGGGGCTGGGAAACAGTCCAAGGGCGTGGAAGGCCGTGCTGGAAAGCCAGGGCTTAGCCGGATGCTGCAGCTGGGCTCTGCCCAAGCCGGCCTCCTCCCTTCTGTGGCGTTCCCTGCGGATCGCCCTCCTTGCCTGTGTGCCAGGAAGGCCTTCCCTTCCGACGCTGCTGGCGTGGCGGCGTCCCTCGGCCGCCCTGCTTAATGAGACCAGGATGAAGTGCCGGGGCACAGAGCCAGCCAGGCAGCGAGCCTGCCTTCGGGCGGGTGGCTGCATCCCTGGCAGGGAGAGGAGAGTTGGCAGGGGTGCCAGCTGCAGGGAGAGATGCCACCCAGGCAGGCAGGCAGGGAGAGGCCCTCGCAAGAAGCCCCCCTGTCCGCAGCGATTCTGCCTTGGAAAGGCAGCGGAATTCCCACCCACCCCAGTGCTGAAGATTCAGAATTTCAGAATTTAGGAGAGTTTTTGGCTGATGCTCTGCCCGTGCTCTTGCAGGTGATGAAGATGATGGGGCTGAACAATGCCGTCCACTGGGTGGCGTGGTTCATCACAGGCTTTGTCCAGCTGTCCATCTCGGTCACTGCTCTGACCGCCATTCTCAAATACGGGAAGGTCCTCATGCACAGCGACGTGCTCATCATCTGGCTCTTCCTGGCTGTCTATGCCGTGGCCACCATCATGTTCTGGTGAGGAGGGAAGGTGGCCTGGCTGACCCTTGACCTTCACGTTGTGATGCTTTGCAAAAGAAGGAGTTGTGGTCTCCTGCCTCCCCTGGAGATGCCCTGCTGAGCAGAACAACCTCAACCTTCTCCCTCAACGTAGCCCCTGGCCGAGGATGATGGGCTTGGGGAGCCTGCTTAGCTAAGCCCATTGTTGCCCCATCGGCAGAACTGCGGCCTGTCGCTGACCTCTCCCCCTCTCTTCCCGCAGCTTCCTGGTGTCCGTGCTGTATTCCAGGGCCAAGCTGGCCTCGGCCTGCGGGGGGATCATCTACTTCCTCAGCTACGTCCCCTACATGTATGTGGCCATCCGGGAGGAGGTGGCCCACGACAAGATCACCGCCTTTGAGAAGTGCATTGCTGTGAGTGCCCGGGAGGGGTGGCAGCAGAGATCTGTCCCTGTGGGGCAACGGCTCCTCTTCCAGCTGGGGGGCCTGGGCTGCTCGTGGTTGGGCATCGGCCTGGCACAGCAAGGGCATGACCCAGGAGCTTCCAGATTTTTCTCAGCCCCCTGAGGAGTTTTTCACCCTTGCCCCTCTCCGCTTCTCCCCAGTCCCTGATGTCCACCACGGCCTTTGGGCTGGGCTCCAAGTACTTTGCCCTCTACGAAATGTCGGGCGTGGGCATCCAGTGGCACACCTTCAGCCAGTCCCCCGTAGAAGGGGATGACTTCAACCTCCTCCTTTCCATGATGATGCTGATTGTGGATGCCGTGGTCTACGGGGTGCTGACGTGGTATATCGAAGCCGTGCACCCAGGTGGGGTTTTGGGGGGACTTGGGGGGCTGGGTTGCTTTCTCTGCCCCTGCTGGCTGCAGCTGCCACACTGGCAGGGAGGGCTCCTGCTGTGCCAACCGGTGCTTTTCCCTCCAGGAATGTACGGGCTCCCTCGGCCGTGGTACTTTCCGCTGCAGAAATCCTACTGGCTGGGAAACGGGCGCACCGAGACGTGGGACTGGTCGTGGCCCTGGTCAAAGAGGACCCCCCTGAGCATCACGGAGGAGGACCAGGCGTGTGCCATGGAGAACAGAAGGATGGGTAAGGGGCTGGGTGGGAGCAGAGCCAACATGGGGCATGGTGTGCTTCGTGGAAAGCGCTTCCTTTCATTTGCCTGTCTTTGAAGACTTGCACGGGGCCCCCCGGCCAGGGGGGCTCTGGAGAGGCTGTGCTTTTTCCTCGGACGCCTCAGAGGCAGGACCCCCACCCCCTCTGTTCTCTGCTCTTTGTTGACTGCTGCAGAGGAGAGCCGGGGCATCGAGGAGGAGCCCACCCACCTGCCCCTGGTGGTCTGTGTGGACAAACTAACCAAGATCTACAAGACCGACCAAAAGCTGGCGCTGAACAAGCTGAGCCTCAACCTCTACGAGAACCAGGTGGTCTCCTTTCTGGGCCACAACGGTGCCGGCAAGACAACCACCATGTGAGTGTGGCAGGCGCCCCCTCGCAGGCGGCAGGGGGAGGCCTGGAGGGGGGGCCTCGGTCTGACCCCCTCCCTGCGCCGCTTCCTTCCCACGCAGGTCCATCCTGACGGGCCTCTTCCCCCCGACCTCCGGCTCCGCCACCATTTACGGCCACGACATCCGGACAGAGATGGACCAGATCCGGAAGAACCTGGGCATGTGCCCGCAGCACAACGTCCTCTTCGACAAGCTGACGGTGGAGGAGCACCTGTGGTTCTACTCGCAGCTGAAGGGCATGGCCAGGGAGGAGATCTGCAGGGAGATGGCCAAGTGGGTGTCGCCCTCCTCTGGAGCCCCCAGCGGTCTCGGATCCCAGCTCCCATGCTCCCCAGCCGGCAGGCCCACTGTGCCCTTCCCTCCTGCGTTGTGCAGCCTCTTGGGCAGGGGGAGCTTTGGGCTCAGATCTGGATCCCTCCTCCTCCTCCTCCTCCTCGGGGCAGGCCGGGCGAGAGTCTTCCCAGAGGGGATCCCAAGTGAGCCCAGCTGGCTTTCCTCCCCACAGGATGGTCGAGGACCTGGAGCTGACCCACAAGTGCCACTTCCTGGTGCAGATGCTGTCCGGAGGGATGAAGAGGAAACTCTCGGTCGCCATCGCCTTCGTGGGGGGCTCACGGGCCGTCATCCTGGACGAGCCCACAGCCGGCGTCGACCCCTATGCGCGCCGGGCCATCTGGGACCTCATCCTCAAGTACAAGCAAGGTGGGTCTGTCTGGGGTGCAGCTGTGGCGCCTAGCAGGTCCCTGGTCTCCTCTCTCCCCCCCTTGATGGGCTCTTCAGCCCCCACGTGGCCCACCTGCCCTTCTTCTGCCGCCCCCCAGGAAGGACCATCCTCCTCTCCACGCACCACATGGACGAAGCTGACCTGCTGGGCGACCGCATCGCCATCATCTCCCACGGGAAGCTGAAGTGCTGTGGGTCGCCCCTCTTCCTGAAAAGCACCTACGGGGACGGGTACAAGCTGACGGTGGTCAAGAAACAGTCGGACACCCGGACCAACACCGGTCAGTGCCCCCCCCCCGCCCTCCTGTGTCCAGGGCAGGATTGAATCCTCAGGCTTTGAGCTGGGGCAGCCGTGACTCTGCCTTGGTCCTCTGGCGTCCTTGGCCTTTCGTGCTTAGGTAGACTTCTTCTGAGCAGAGAGGCTCAAATGGCTGTCAGGCTCTCTGCAGACCCGCCTCTTTCCCCCAAAACTGCTGGTTTCTTTTAACATCACCCAATTCCGCAGCTATTATGGTGGTCATGCTTCCGATTGGGAGCAACGTCCCTCCGTCCTCTTTTTCCCTTTGACCCTCTGGTGACGTTCTCCTCCCTCCCCAGAGACGGGGCTCCCGCGCAGCCCCCCCTGCCCCTCGGCCACCAGCCCCTGCTCCGAGGAGAGAGTCACCCAGTTCATCAAGAAGCACGTGGCCTCCTGCCTCCTCATCTCCAACACCAACACGGAGCTCTCCTACATCCTGCCCAGCGAGGCCGTCAAGAAAGGCGGCTTCGAGCGGCTCTTCCAGGTGGGCGCAGGGGCTTCACCCACAGCCCTGGCAGTGCCGGGGGGGGCAGCTGGGGAGGGCTGCTGCGTTGGTTTTTAAGTTGAGGGCGTCTTCCTTTCCTGGAGGGAGGGGTGGAAACACATAAAAGGTGCTTTAAAGCAGTTGGATGGTGATCTCTGGGTCGCTCTTCTTCTGAAGAAGCTAGTCCTCTTGAAGGTGGGTCCTTGCCAACCTAGGTGACCCTGTTCTGCCTCCCTGGGACTTGTAAGCAATTCGAGCCCCTGAAGGAACTCTGTGGGGTGCTGTCATTAGCCCAGACGGAGCTGATAGTAGCATCCCTTCTGGTTGCACAGGTAGACTACCCCTGAGCCTGGAAGCTCAGGGTTGATATCCACTGATAGCCTCCTCCTCCCCCCCCCCTTTCCCTCCTCGAAATGGGAAAGTGATTTAAAGCCACGAATCTGCAGCTCCTTCGGGAGGGGAACCAAGAAGTCCTTCTGTCCCCCCCTGGAGGGATGGCGGCTTGGCTGAGACACGACTTTCACAGAGCTCTTCCGGGGAGGAGGCTTGCCAGGCCCTCTCGGAGCCCGACCCCCGAGCGAAGGGGCTGCCGTGGGCCTCCCCCTGATTCCCCCCTGCTCCCTTCCGCAGCACCTGGAGCACAACCTGCAGGAGCTGGACCTCACCAGCTTCGGCCTGATGGACACCACCCTGGAGGAGGTCTTCCTAAAGGTCTCGGAAGAAGACCCCTCTCTCGAGAACAGCGAGGCGGGTACGCTGCAGGGGGGGCAGGCCTCCCTAGCCCAGGGGGTCTCCCGCAGCCCCCGGCAGCCCTTCTCACCCCTGCCCACCTTTGCAGATATCAAGGAGTCCGAGAAAGATGCCTTCCCACTGCCCAGCCCCCGCCTCGGCCCCAAGCCCCAGGCCAACGGCCACCCCCTCCCGAGGCCAGCAAGGCCGACGAAGCCCGAGGTGGACCTGGGGAACCTCCTGACCTGCTCGGGCTTGGCTGAGTCCCAGGCGTCCTTGCATTCCTCCTCCTCCTCCTCCTCTTCCTCCTCCTCCTCCTCGGCCGGCTCCGTACGTGGCGAGGACAGCGGGGCTTATTCGGACTTCTACGGGGATTACTCCCTCTTGATTGGCAACCCACAAGACCCCGATAATGGCAGCCTGCAAGGTGGGTAGCACGGGAAACGTCTGGCTGTGTCGGGGGGGGCAGTTTGAGGGAAGTGGGGACTTTATGGAGGGGCGGGAGGGGGAGACCCCTTGGTTCCCAATAATATTTTAATTGGCTGTGCCTGTAAGCCTCCCAACGGCTGTCCCTTCACGGCTGTTGGCAGAGAACCTGAGTGTGCCATGGGTTGAGGGTGGAAGGGTGCCGCCTCCTGCTGCTCGGGCATTTGGGTGGGGGAGAAGAAGGAGGCAGAAGGAGAAACTGAGGCAGGGACCCCATCCGGAAGGTCTCCAGGAGGACAGAGCAGGAAGGGGGCTCCCTCCCTCCCTCCCTCCCTCCGTCCATCATGCCTGTCCCCTCTTCGTGCAGAGCCAGAGGCTGACCTGGAAGAGGCTGACCTGGCCGGACAAGGCAGCATCAAGCTGCAGGGCTCCTGGCTGAAGCTGCGCCAGTTTCACGGGCTGCTGGTCAAGCGCTTCCATTGTGCCAAACGCAACAGCAAGGCCATCTTCTCCCAGATCCTGCTGCCCGCCTTCTTCGTCTGCGTGGCCATGACGGTGGCCCTCTCTGTCCCGGAAATAGGTAGGGGGCATCCCTGCCCTTCCACCTGGGGTGGCAAGAGCCCCGCCCCCCAGACAGTGGCTCCAGGGGAAGGCTTCTCTGTAGTAAAGGGACATTTTTGAACCTTGCTGGCATTTTTGCTTTGAGCAAGTGATGGAGCCACTGTGGGGAGGGGGGGTGTCAAATCTGAGCTCTTTCTGCTGCTGAAATGGGGGTGTCTTTCCACAGCCGGCTATTATGCCCCCCTCTTGTTTTCCAGGTGACCTGCCTCCCCTCATCCTTTCGCCTTCCCAGTACCACAATTACACTCAGCCCAGAGGCAACTTCATCCCCTTCGCCAACGAGGAACGTGCCAGCCGGTAAGAGACTGACCCTCTTTGCCCTCTCCCCCCTCCCCAGGCCCAGGCCATTTCCCAGGATCTGGTCCAAGAGGGTCTCGGACCTGTAAAGCTGAGGGTGCAGCAAGGAGACCCTTGCCCATCTCAGGGGAGAGGAGAGAGATGGGGTATGATCTGCCCTGGTGACCGTTCCCCTGGGAGGAACCTTTCAAGGTTTGGTTGGAATGAATACCTGCTTTTCTCCTTCGCACACCGCAGATCCGCACAGCGCCCGTCACTCCCAGTCACACAGACCCCCCTGAGGTCCCCCTAATTCCTGCACGTGTGGGGAGCAGAGCGGGCAAAGCGGTTCCCCGCTTGCGATCAGGGCAGTACATGTGGTCAGCTCTTCAGTCCTTTGCAACAGGAGCCTAGCTAAGTAGAGTGGAGCACCCAGTTGCCAAGGCAGTATATCTGCTCACCGGATGAAAGGACAGGGCAGTAAAAACAGACCCCTGGACTCTGCCAGGGCGTTCCTGGGACTGGAGGGCTGGAAAAACTCTCCTCTTCCTCCTCCTGCTTTTAGCCAGCCAGCGCCAGACGCCAGCGCCCAGCAGCTGGTGAGCACCTTCTACCTGCCCTCCGGCATCGGGGCCACCTGCGTGCTCAAGTCGGCCTTCAACAGCACGTTGGACCAGCAGGTCCAGTCGCTTAACCTCAACAGCAACGAGTCCAAGATGCTGGCGGCCAAGTACTTCGACGCCATGTGCCTGGACTCCTTCACCCAGGGCCTGCCCCTCTCCAACTTCGTGCCTCCCCCTCCGTCCCCGGCCCCCTCCAACTACCCCTTCTCTCTGGACGAGGACCTGCTGCGGGCCTGGAATTCCACCACCTCCCCGCCCACCGTCAAAGGTGAGGGCGGCCCCGGTTGGGAAGCTCCTTCCCGAGGGCTGGCTCGGAAGCCCAGAGGCAGGCTCTGAAAATGGCGCCGCCTGCGTCTCTTCTTCGGCTGGGAGGGGCGCCCAGGACGGGCTCCGGGGCTCGGAGAGGCTCGGGGGCACCAAGACTGAAACGCCGACTTAGCCGCCCCGGCTCTCTTCTCGTCCTTTAAACCGCTTTTCTGTGTGGCACCTCCGGAGTGCTGGCTTTCCTCGGTGAGTGACACTGCTGTTGGTTTTCTCCCTGCCAGAGACAGTCACCTCCACCCCGGCCCAGCCCAGCATCGTCCACGAGCCCATCAGGTGTACCTGCTCCATGCAGGGCACCGGCTTCTCCTGCCCCAGCGGGGTGGGGGGGCACCCTCCCCAGACAAAGGTGGTGACGGGGGACATACTGGTGGACATCACAGGGCGCAACGTCTCCGAGTATATGCTCTACACATCGGACCGCTTTCGGCTGCACAGGTGTGTTTGTGTGCGTGCGTGTGCATGGGCGTGCACGGAGGGGACGGGGGTGTCCCCTCCCCCCCCAGGAGGAGCTCCGGCAGGTGTCTGTTAGTGAATGTGGCTGCTGCTTTCCTGTCCCAGGTATGGAGCGGTGACCTTCGGCAACATCCAGAAATCCATCCCAGCCTCTTTTGGGGCCAGTGCGCCCCCCATGCTCCGGAAAATTGCTGTCCGCAGCACTGCCCAGGTAAGGGCTGGCTGATGCCTTTGCCCATCTGCGGTGGGCAGCCCAGAAGCACCAGCCGGATGGGCTTGTACGGGGGTTCCCATCCCAGCCACCAGGGGCCGTTCCCTCTGCCCCCCCCAAGCCCCCTGTCCTCGTGGAGCAGCCTGGGCCAACGCTCCGCCCCCTGCGCTCCCCTCCTAGGTGTACTACAACAACAAAGGATACCACAGCATGCCCACCTACCTCAACGCCCTCAACAATGCCATCCTCCGTGCCAACCTGCCCAGCAGCAGCGGCAACCGTGCAGCCTATGGTGAGCAGGGGTGGGTGGGAGGGATGCTGGGCAGAAGTGGGGCAGCAGGAAGCTGGCATGGAGAGGCTCACACATGGAGGAGGGGGTGTCAGGTGGCTAGGAGGGAATCTGGAGGGAGAGAAGAGGGGCGCTGGTGGGCCAGGCAGAGGGAGACTCTCAGGCACTCATGCCGGACTCTCTCTCTGCCCCCCAGGCATCACCCTGACCAACCATCCCATGAACAAGACCAGCGCCAGCCTTTCTCTGGATTACCTGTAGGTGTCGTGTTGATTTATTTACTGGTTTGTTTATCTTACTGGCTTGTTTCTGCACTGCTTCTCGGGAAGTTTTCATGACTTGGGGTGGCGGGGGGGGGTTTGAGTTCCGCTTGTATCCCACCTGCCCCCTCTGGCAAGTGATCAAAGCTGCTGTCGGGACAGGGAGGCGAGGGCCGCTCCTGAAGCGGCCCAGGGCACTCGTGCAGCTCAGCGGGAAAACCATCCCAACCTCGCAGGGGCATCGTCAAAGCTTTGGGGCAAACGGGGCCGGGCTCTGCAAGGGGGGGCAGGGTAACCCCGAAACAGGGGGACATTTACAGGCTCGCCAACCTCTCCTCCTCTGCTCAGCCTGCAAGGCACCGACGTGGTCATTGCCATCTTCATTATCGTGGCCATGTCCTTCGTGCCGGCCAGCTTCGTCGTCTTCCTGGTGTCCGAGAAGTCCACGAAAGCCAAGCACCTCCAGTTCGTCAGCGGTTGTGACCCTGTCATCTACTGGCTGGCCAACTACGTCTGGGACATGGTAGGCTGGCTGGGGTGTGTGTGTGTGTGTGTGTGTGTGGCTGGGACCCCCAAGCGGTTGGGGGTGCGGAGGCGGGTGGCTTTGGGGGCAGGGGGGAGCAGTGCCACGCTGAGCTTCTCCTTCGCCCCTCTCTTCCCCCTCTCCAGCTCAACTACCTGGTGCCAGCCACTTGCTGCATCATTATTCTCGTCGTCTTTGACCTGCCGGCTTATACCTCCCCCACCAACTTCCCGGCGGTGCTGGCCCTCTTCCTGCTCTACGGGTGAGGGGCGGCTGAGGGGGGGAGCGATCGGGGCCCTGCTGAGGGGGGGCCTCCCCTGACTCACCTGGGGGGGCTGCTGGGGGGCGTCTCAGCCTGAGGCAAGGCTCAGCTTGCTCTCCACGTTGTGCTGCTTTGGGCAAGCGTGAGTCTCACGGAGTGAGGGTCTGCCCTGGAGGCCACCGCAAGGGTTAGGAATAGAGCCTCCACCGTGAGAGGAAGTCTACCTTCTGGAGGAAGGAGCCGGATGGGAAGATCTTTGCGCCCTTCCCCCAGGTGGTCCATGACGCCCATCATGTACCCAGCCTCCTTCTGGTTCGACGTGCCCAGCTCGGCCTACGTCTTCCTCATCGTCATCAACCTCTTCATCGGCATCACGGCCACCGTGGCCACTTTCCTCCTCCAGCTCTTTGAGCACGACAAGGTGGGTGCCGGCAGGAAGCCGAAAGTCTTAAAAACCCAGTGAATGGCTGACGTAACCCCTTCCCCCAAACGGGGGGGGGGGGAAGTCTCTGCCTTCAGGTGGCCTTTTTCTTCAAAAATGACTAAAGTGGGGGAGATGCTTCTTGTTCCACTGCACAGAAGCAGAGCAGCCCCCAAATTTGGAGGGGGGGGGCTGGGCTGATGCTGCTGCAGCCCTTCCTTAGTGCCTTTTCCTCTGCAGGACCTGAAAATGGTAAACAGCTACTTAAAAAGCTGCTTCTTGATTTTCCCCAATTACAACCTGGGCCACGGACTCATGGAGATGGCTTACAACGAGTACATCAACGAATACTATGCAAAGATCGGTAAAGTATTTTTTTTTTAATTTGTTTATTAAATTCGTACGCTGCCCATCTCACTATTCAAAGCAGGTGTGAATTTGCTCTTTGCTTTAGCTTCGTGATTCCTCCTTCCTATGCCACAATTTTATTCCTATAAGATTGCAAGCTTTTGCACGTGTGCAGAGTGGTTTCTTAATCCTGGCTTGCCTTAGATCAACTGGGAGATCTCCTGGCGTTCCCTCCTCTGCACCTCTTAGAGTTAGCAGGAAAACGTTTGTTAAGAGAAAAGGGCACCCTTGGGGCTTTTGTGTTTCACTGGAAAAATAGCTCTGGGAAGCAGGAAGCAGCCTCTGGTGACCCCGAAAAGCCCTGAGCCGAATTCCCCCACCCAACCAAAGAAGCCCCCACCAGTGGGGGGCTTGGGTCCTCTCACCCCCATTTGTGCCTCGCTTCCTGCAGGGCAATTTGACAAGATTAAGTCTCCCTTTGAGTGGGACATCGTGACCAGGGCTTTAGTCGCCATGACGGTGGAAGGCTTTGTCGGCTTTTTCATCACCATTATGTGCCAGTACAACTTTCTCCGAAAACCACAGTGAGTGTACCAATGCACACTGTGTGTGTGTGTGTGTGTGTGTGTGTGTGTGTGTGTGTGTGTGCCCAGAAAGGGGATTTCTGGGAAGTTTCATTCCCGTCTCAGCTGGGCAGCTTGGAATTGCGGTCCTGCAAATCTCTGCTGGGCAGGGAAATACAGACCTAAGGCCGCTTGGGCTGAGTCTGCCACTGAAGAAGCAACTCCTCTGCCCCCTCCTGCCCCCCCCCACCCCAGGCGTTTTCCCGTCTCCACCAAACCCATTGAAGACGACGTGGACGTGGCCACCGAGCGGCAGCGAGTTCTGCGTGGGGATGCCGACAACGACATGCTCAAGATTGAGAACCTCACCAAGGTGTGTGTGTGTGTGTGTGTGGCAGTGGGGGGTGTCCATTCGAGGCAGGCTTGGCTGGAGCAGGGGGCTCAACGGGAGCGAGGGTTGGGGGCAGGAGAGGGTTGGGGGGGGTGTCTCCTGCAGGTAGAAAGGCCTCAGGCCCCAAGCTGAGGAGAGGCTTTTTCCCGTGGCACCAGGTGTACAAGTCCCGCAAGATTGGGCGCATCCTGGCTGTGGACCGGCTGTGCGTGGGCGTCCGGCCGGGGGAGTGCTTCGGCTTGTTGGGCGTCAACGGGGCAGGGAAGACCACCACCTTCAAGATGCTGACGGGGGACGAGACCACCACCAACGGCGAGGCCTTCATCAACGGGCACAGGTGGGGGCTGGAGGGTCCCTCAGGGGCTCCCCGGGAACGCAGGTGCTGCATCCAGAGTTGATTTTTTTTAATTCCCTTCTTTGGCCCTGGAATATCCTGGGAATTTACTATCCCAGACTTAAAACGGGGTCATTTGCACCCAGAGCAAGAAACAAGAAGCGTGAATGCACTGGCCAATGGAGCCTCCATGGGCAGGCAATACTGTTCTGATTGACTGGTTGCAGGAAAGCAACATGAAGAGAAGGATATGTCTTCCTGCTAGCTGTTAGAATCCTCTGCCGATCTTACCTTCTTGTAATTTTTCTCTAAATCCATTTGTTCTCAGCTTCATTTTTCATTGCTCTTTGCTTTGAGCGATGGGTCCCATTTTCTTTTGAATGGGGCTGGACTGCTGAACCCCCTTTCCTTCCCACCAGCCTTTCGGGGGGGGCTTCTGGGGACCCCCTGGGCAGTGATGACTGCCTCGCCTTGTGCTCAGCTCGGCTCTTGGTTTCCACAGCATCCTGAAGGAGCTTCTGCAGGTCCAGCAGAGCCTGGGCTACTGTCCACAGTTCGACGCCCTCTTTGACGAGCTGACAGCCCAGGAGCATCTGGAGCTCTACACGCGGCTGCGCGGCATCCCGTGGAAGGATGAGGAGCGGGTGAGGGAGGGGCCGGAGGAGGCGGTTGAGAGACACCCCCCCCATATCCTGGGTTTTCCTTAAGAAGGAGAAGGCAGCCGCTGCTTCTTCCGTGTGGACAATGAGTCTGTGGAACTCACCCCCACAGGACAGAAGGGGCTAAGGCCAACCCCCTCTGCAGGGGCTGTGGTGGAACTTCTGGCTGGCCACAGTGGCGGCTGGTGGGTTCTTTGTGAGTGTGAGACCCTTCTTCCTTCACGGCCCAGGTGGTCAAGTGGGCGATGAAGAAACTGGAACTGGCTAAATGTGCCAACAAGCCCGCCAGCACCTTCAGCGGTGGCAACAAGAGGAAGCTGTCCACCGCCATCGCGCTGATCGGCTACCCTGCCTTCATTTTCCTGGTGAGGAGCGAACGTGGGGCAGAGACCTGGCCGGAGGGTGGTGCATGATGCTTCTCTCTGGTACTCTGATACCACCCCGGGATGCCACCCCGGCCTCAGTAGCCTCCCCAGGATGGTGCCGAGCAAAGGAGGCTCGGCCAGCCTGGGCCCAACTCTGTCCCCTGGTCCCCTCCATCACCACAGGACGAGCCCACCACCGGCATGGACCCGAAGGCTCGGCGCTTCCTCTGGAACCTCATCCTGGACATCATCAAGACGGGCCGCTCCGTGGTTCTGACCTCGCACAGGTAGGCTGGGCACGGAGACACCCGTGGCTTCCTGAGATGCCAGGGAAAGGGGTGGGCTGGATCCGGCTGCAGCTGCAGGGCGGCCAAGAGCTGGGGGAGACCCGTCCCCCCCGCCCTTCTCTTCAGCTGCACCCGTCTTCTCTCAGCATGGAGGAGTGCGAGGCGCTCTGCACGCGGCTGGCCATCATGGTGAACGGGCGCCTCAAGTGTCTGGGCAGCATCCAGCATCTCAAGAACCGGTGAGCCAAGGGCGCCAGCTGGGTGGGCAGAGCACGGGCACCTCACAGCAGCTTCTTCCTGGGCCAAGCCTGGTGAAGCTCTGCATCCTGGCCTGGGGGCAACGCCCAGATCTGGAGCAGGGCCTCGAGTGCCCCGGTCCGGGAGGAAATGCCTTTTGGCCCATTTGGGGGAGGGTCCTCCCGTCCCGCCCAGCTGCCCCATCCTGGATGGCCGTTTTCACCTCCACCCCACAGCCGTTCCCGTACCTGGTCGGGAGGGCGGCTCTTGCAGAGAAGCCCCCTTTCATCCCCCCCCCTTGTTCCCGGACAGATTTGGGGACGGCTACATGATCACCGTCAGGACCAAGTCCAGCCTGAACGTGAAGGAGGTGGCTCACTTCTTCAGCCGGAACTTCCCGGAGGCCGTCCTCAAGGTTTGGGCAATTCTTGGGGGGAAGAAGGAGGAGTTTCATCTGGCGGGGGCAAGGAGGGGGAGGAGGCACTGACCTTTCCTCCCTCCCCCAGGAGAGGCACCACACCAAGGTCCAGTACCAGCTGAAGTCGGAGCACATCTCACTGGCCCAGGTCTTCAGCAAGATGGAGCAGGTGGTGGACGTCCTGGGCATTGAGGACTACTCTGTCAGCCAGACCACGCTGGACAATGTGAGGGGCCACCGGGGTCCCCACTTTCCCTTTGGCCACCCGCTTCTGTCCGAGGAGTGGACTCGGCCAGCCCTGTGCTCGCTGCATTGGCAGGGCAGCGTCACTGCCTGGCTGAGGATGATGGGAATGCCCATCCAGAGTTACCAATCCTGTCCCCGCCACCCCAATCCCTGGCCAGGGGAGGCGGGTCAGGCGCCACCCCCGTCCAGCCTGACTTGGCAGCCTCCTTTGCAGGTGTTTGTGAATTTTGCCAAGAAGCAGAGCGACAACCTGGAGCAGCAGGAGAGCCTCCCGCCCTGCTCGATGGAGTCCCCCCTGCAGCGCCTGCTGAACCTCCTGCGGCCCCGCGGGGCCCCGACCGAGCTGCGCACCATGGTGGTGGAGGAGCCCGAGGACCTGGAAACGGATGACGAGGGGCTGATCAGCTTCGAGGAGGAGAGGGTGAGCCAGGCCGGGGCAGAGGAAGGGCCGTGGGGGGGGGGCAGGGGGGCTGGCCAGGAGGCCTGTGGAGACGGCAGCCACCCAGGGGCAGCGCCCGTTACCTTTGCTCTTTCCTCCTGCCCCTCCCCCCAGGCTCAGCTCTCCTTCAACACGGACACCCTCTGCTGAAAACGGAGGGGACGTGGCGCTCGGCTGTGCAGCCCCCCTCCCGCCCCTTCCCGCTTGGCGGCTGCCATCCTCGGCCTCTCTGCCCAGCGAGTGAGCGGGACGTCCCGGAGGCAGCGAGAGGAGGCACTGCCCGAGCCTTCGACCTGGGTGGCCCCCAGGACGGAGCTGGCCTCGTGTCGTTTCGCAGATCGCCAGGACCGGACGTGGCGCAGTCCGGCTGTGTGAGAAGACTTGGGGAGGGCCGTTTATGCAGAGGAGCGGCTGCCTCCACACCCCACTTGAACCCCACCGTTTTGGGCATTCGTCCTCGGAGAGACTGCGTGCTGTTGGGCCTCACTGCCCCTTCTGCCGGGCTGTGCTGGATCCGACTGCGGAGGGCGGCTGGGCGGCACCGGCCTTTCTGGCAAGGGAAGCACGCGATGCCAAGGGGAGGGGATCCCCTGGAACAAACCTCAGGGTTGATCCCTCCCAGGACATCCCCCCCTCCTCTGTCCCCTCTCTCCCTCAGCCCCAGGAGCAGAGCCCCGGGGCGGCTGCCTGCAGGCTTGGAAAGGGCTGGGCCTCTGGGGCCCCCCGCTCAAAAGGGAGCCAGCCTCCCCCCCCCCAAAAGCAGCCCAGGGGCCGTGCCCGTTTCCTCTAACCAGGCTTGGAGCTTTTTGCTTCCGGATCTACTTTTTAAGGCATCAAGTACCGCGACTGGGCCAAAAGCATCCCAAGCGGCCGAGGCCTCCCAGGAGCCTCCCCCCCCCCCGCTCGGGAGTGGGGCGGCAGCTTTCCACGCCTCTGCTTGCGCCCTAATCCGGCATGGCATTAACCGGAAGCCTCCGGTGGGATCACGAGGGCCTTTCGAGCTCTCGGCTCTCCTGCTTGCGGGCACGGAGGCCCCTGAAGCGGTCCCGGTGAGCCAGTGGATCCGTACAGTTGCCTCTTCACCAAGAGGAGCCAAGGGGGTCTTCTCCAGCACCTGGAATTGTCTCAGATGTGTGGGACTCAACTTGTGATGCCCCAGCAGGTGGCTGGGGAAGATGGGAACTGTAGTCTGAAGTGCAAGGTGGGGCTGCAGTTAGAGAAACCTGGTGCACCCTTTCCTGCTGGGGAATGGCACCCCCCCCTCCGCCCCTCCGGTTGTCCTGTTTGCACCGACCTTCAGAGAAGCCAAGAGGCCAGCAGGGCCCCCCCCAACTGAAGAGGAGGGGACACCTTTGGGGCCAGAGCCAGGATGGCTCCCTTCCCAGCGAGGCAGCTTCTCAGCACGGAACAAGCGTAACTCGTATTCTGAGAAAGAGGAAGGTTTTAGACAAAGATTGCATCGGTTTATTTTCGGCTTAGCAAGCACAATGTTTTTTTATTTATTGGAGCGCTGGGGAGGGGTGTGGATGAGAGGGTGTGCCTGGGCGGCGTGTGGAACTCATTGGGACTCTGCTGAGTTCTCTCTTTCCCCACAACAGCTGTGGGGCTTTGCCAGTCCCCTCTCTGGGTCCCCCAGGATGGGGCTGAAAGTGGGCCCTGAAACCCCGGCGCAGAGGGAGACATCAGGCCAGCTGCAAAGAGGCACCGGCTGCGGAGGGCGCTCTGGTGAGCCGGGCCCCTCTCGGCCGGGATCTGGTCTGCTGGGCCCTCCGGCCCTTCTCCCCGGAGCCCCACTGGGGCAGCTTGCTCTCTTGGCCAAGAGCCTGGCTGTTGCTAGAACCGGAAAACCCAATGTGAAAAATAATTATTGTTTTAATAAAAAAAGCGATAATAACCCATTGTTGTTTGGCAGAGATTTTTGTGGGGGTCCTGGGATTTGCCTTGCAAGGCTGAGCGGGAGCAAAGAGCGAATCCCACCCCAAAAAACACGCTCGAAGGGGGGAGGCCAGACTGCGGCTGGTTCGGGTTTTGTCTGGGCAAGTTGTGAGCGGCTTTAAGAGCGACACCACCCTCCCTCCTGCCAAGTGGGGCGTCTTGCTTCAGCCCCTGTTCACTTCCCTGTGTTCTGTCTCCGAAGCCATTTCCCCCTCATCCAGACAGGCTGGGGGCGATGGAAGCACGGGGGGAGGGGGGCTGCTTCGCACCCCGTCTTTCGGTCCTGGGCGTGGCAGGCTGGCATTTTCCACGGAGCCACCCAGCCGAGGGTTTAATTACGCCCACGCCGGGAACAGCTCCTTAATCTCACGGCAGGCCTTCCGAGATCAGGGGGATTGTCCTCCTGTGCAGAATACGCCTGCTATTTTAAATAACCCCCGGAAGTGGGGTTGTTTTTGAAAGGAGGCACACCTTGTCCCTCCTGCCCCAGGCCTGGGCTTTCCAGAGACGGGGTTAGGAGATGTCACCGGGAGGGTGTTGCCGGGCCAAGGGGGGAGCTTCGGCCCTGCAGGAGGAGGTGAAAAATGGGCTCGCGGCTGCCGAAGGATCCATGCCAGCCTTTTGCAAGGCTGCCTTGGTTGCCCTGAGCCCCGCCTGGGGCCCCCTGGATCTGGGGCTCCTAGAAAGAAAAAATAAAATTCAACCCCAGCCTGGGAGGGATGAGCAGGGTGTATATATAATTTTGCAATCAGCATTGTTGTTGCAGAAAAACATCTGTTTCCCCCCCCCCTTTTTTTTTTCTGGTTTCCCTTTACAAAACTCAGCCTTCCGGCCTCCTCAGTATCTCTCAGACCAACCAGGCAGGATGGATCCTTCCTCCCTTGTAATGCCAGTGGTAGTTTGCCATTGACCAGATCCCCCTCCTGCCTTTCCACCCGGACGGCAGTCTCTGGTGGGACACGATGGAGGGGCTGCCCAGGGACCCTCGGCTCGGACTCTGCCCCTCTGCCGGTGCCACCCAAGGAACCAGGGAGTGGCCGGGATTGGGTGGCTGCGGAAACAGGGCGTTGGGAGGCGAGGAAGAAAGAATGCGGCTGGTGAGGCTCACAGGAGGGTGTGTCGAATTTATAACGCAGATCCGAGCGGGTGCTGGACAGCTTTCCCTGCTGGGGCCGAGAGAGGATGGCGGAGGGCTCCAAGCTCCAGCTGTTTGTCAAGGTAAGGCTGGCTCTTGGGCTGGCGTGCTCCAGATGTGGCCCTCGGGTGCCGTGGCCAAAGTCACGGATTGGAAACCTGAAGGAAGAGCCTCAAGAAGGTCCCATCTCCTAACCAAGTCGTTGGAGAGCCGATAAGCTGAAGGGCAGAGGGGAGAAGCCTCCCCTGACCGTCTCCGGCCTCTGGGCTTGGAGGGGGCTGTGTCTGGATGGGGCCCTCCTGTCCTTCTCCCCACCTGGGCCCCAGCCTCTGCTCTCTTTCCAGCTGGGAGGCAGGCCCTCTTGGTCCAAGCCACACCAGGACCTGCCCAGCCATCCTCCCCAGACTTTCCCCTCAACATCTGGCCGGGGGGGACCCGCGAGCCCTCCAGTGGGGCCCCAGGGTGGGGGTGCATCTTGCAGGGAGGCGCTGGGAAGACCTGAGTGCAGCCTTCTCCTTCCACGCACGGGCGGCTGCAACGGTCTTAATTCCCCCCCCCCTTTGGAGCCGATCTTTTGGGGTGCAGCTGTGCTCAGAGGAAGACTTTGCCCAAATCCATTTCGCAAAATGAAACTGCCAAATCCCTGCCCTGAAGTCCTGGCGAAGGGAGCCTCTCCCGGCCAACCTGAAATGCTGCCTGGGTTTTGGATTTGGCCGGGGACCAATCCTGATCCCAGCCGAGAGCCGGGCCAAGGGAGGGCACCCTGGTGCTCTGCTGGGCGCAAGGCAGCTGGCTGGGCGGGTGGGAGCACATACCCAGCCCCCTTGTTCCCTCCGAAAGGCAGGCCAGGAAGAGGGTGGGAGGCAATCGTCTTCCCATCCCAAAAATGACTTGCCTACCGGGAGGGAATGGACAAAGGTTGATACTGGACTGAAATCCTGGAGAGTTTTGACAGCAGAGCGAAAGGCTTAAAGGCGTGTTTCTGCTGGCTGACCTACTTCAGTGGCACAGTCCTGGCTGGGAGGATGGGATTTGTAGTCCCACACATTCGGCGGACACTGTGTAAGGAAAGATGCCACGCTGGTTTTAAATCTGGTCGGCCCAGAACGGCGGTGGGGTTCCCAGGAGCTCATTCCTCCTGCCAAAAGGCCTCTCCCCTCCCTGCCCCCTCTAGGCCAGCGCTGACGGGGAGAACATAGGGAACTGCCCCTTCTGCCAGCGCCTTTTCATGGTCCTGCTGCTCAAGGGGGTCCCCTTCACACTGACCACAGTGGACACCAAGAGGTAAGGGCCACAGGAGGGGCCGGCGTCTTGCCTGCTGACCGTTGGCAATGCTGAGTCTGCCTTTGGCAGCTCCCAGGCAGGTGATGGGGGATTGTTGCCCCACCCACCTGGGGGCCATGGGGTTAGAAAAGCTGCCCTAGAGACTGGTGTGGGGTGTGGGGGGGAGGGTTGGGGGCTGTTGGGGAGCTGCATCTGAAAAAGAGGCGTCTGTGTCTTCCTGGCTCCTGGGAATCTCCCTTGTGGGGATGCAGAAGGGGCAGAGCCCTCCAATTCCCAGGCTCAGCCCCCTTTTTGACACCCCCCCCCCCTTTACAGGTCCCTGGACGTCCTGAAAGATTTCGCCCCAGGAGCCCAGTTGCCTGTCCTGCTTTACGACGGGGATCCCAAAACAGACACCATCAAGATCGAAGAGTTTCTGGAGGAGACCCTGGCCCCCCCTGAGTAAGCGGTGGGGGCCCCCAGTCCAGTGAGGGGCTGGAGCCAAGTCCTCCTTCCGGGAGGGTGGGGGGTTCAAGAGAGAAGAGAAGCAAGAGCTGAGCGAGAATGTCCTGCCTGCTCTCCTTTCCGTCTTTTCAAAGGCAAGGCAGGATTCTGCCCACTGTGCAGACAGGGAGACTGAGGCAAGGAGGCGCAGCAGTCAGCATTCCTCTGTCTTCTCCGGCAGGTTCCCCAGCCTGGCGCCCAAGTACAAGGAGTCCATCTTGGCCGGGAATGACGTATTCCACAGGTTCTCTGCCTACATCAAGAACCCGATACCAGCTCAGGACGAAAGTGAGAGAGAAGGGGCTTTGGACTACAACCCCCATCCTTCCTAGCCAGCATGCTCCAGTCCTTTGGGGGACTGTGCTGAGCCACTGAGGCTCCATTTGAGGTCTGGAGAGCAGCACAGGGGAGGCCCAACTACCTTCCTTTAAATTGGCACCCGGGGGGGGCAAAGTGGGGGAGGGCGGCAGCACAGGAAGAGACAGGATCCCTTCCCTGCAAGGGAGTCCGGCCAGGCTCAGATCAAACAGGAGAGAAATCTCCCCTTTGTCAGCGGGTTGAGTGGCAGCCGGTGGGGGTGGGGGATGTCCACCAGCAAAATGGCCTCCTGTCTCTAGAAAAGGGGATGTGAGCAAGAGGTCAAGCGACAGGGACACGGCTTTGAGCATCTCAAATACCAGAGTAAAAGCATCTTTGGAAAGTGTGCGTGTCTTTAGAAGCTCAGTCCTGGCTGGGCTGGGAAACAAGGCGGGCTGAATCTTTGGTTTCAGAGGAAATTGCTGAGTTTCTTATCTGTCAGGGGTAGCCGAGTAGCAGATCAAGCCCCCACCTTAGAGGCAGTCTACCTGTGCACTCCTCGCTGCCGTCTGCCCCAGAGGCTAGCTGATTGGGCTGTTTTCCCCACAGCTTTGCTCCACGCCCTTCTCAAAGCCTTCCGTAAGCTGGACCAGTACCTGAGCACCCCTCTGGACTACGAGCTGATGCGGGACCCCCAGCTGGTCATCTCCCGCCGGCGGTTCCTGGATGGGGACCAGATGACCCTGGCCGACTGCAGCCTGCTCCCCAAGCTCAACATAGTGAATGTGAGAAGACCGTGAGGAAGGCAGAGCCCCCTTCCTCTCCTCCCCCCCCCCGTGGGACCCCCTGGCTGCCCTGGGCACCCTTTCCCCCCCCCGGGCATTTCCTGGGGCAGAATTCCCCGCCACGTCTCCTCTGGGAGCACCTAACGTATTCAAGGAAGGGCGGGGCTCCTCCTCTCCACCCCACCCTCCACGGAGCCATAATTACCCCAAAACGCAGCACAAACAAAATTGGGTATCTCGGGAATCTCGACCTTCCAGTTTGGGTTCATCTTGAAAACAAAGTCAGCAGAATGAACGGACGGCTGGCACAGCCACTCTCGACTGACCTGGGCTTCCCTCCCCTCTCCTGCAGGTCGTGTGCCAGCACTACCGCCAGGCGGGCATCCCCAGAGAGCTGCGGAGCATCGGGCGCTACCTGGAGTGTGCTGCCGAGACCAAGGAGTTCCAGTACACCTGTCCAAACCCCCTGGAGATCATCCAGGCCTACCACGGCGTGGTCAGGCAGCCCCAGTAGCCCCCTGGCTAAAGTCGGGGCTGGCTAGCTCTGCCTGGCACCCAGGGCGCCCCCTCCTTCTCTCTCAGAGTCATTCATAGGGGAAGGAAGCGGGGCAGGTCCAGATCAGTGGAACCTCCGTGGGCACGGCCTTCAGGTGGCTCCGGCATCGCCATCTTCCCTCCCGCCAAGGCAGTGGGTGCCACGCCATGTGGTCAGGCCCTGGCGCCCTTGGGCAGTGCTGGCACTGCCCATGTGCTGTGGTGGTCCCTCACTAGCAAACCTGACTGTCTTCTCTGGAGGGCTCTGCTCCCCTCCTCTTGACCAGATTCGGCCCAGAAGATTTGAGGGAGGAGAGTCAGCCCCCGTCACCCCTGCAAAGCTGGCTTTAAGGCCTTGAAGTGGGGCTGGGGGCTTCTTAGGAAGCTTTGCTCATCTGAGGCTGTGAGACCCTCACTGGAGCAGCCCTGCACGCGATCTGGCTCTTGGGTGTGTGTGTGTGTGTGTGTCACGGCATGTCTGCATTTCCACATTCTCTCTTCATCCATGGCTCTTTTTAAGTACCATATCCCCCCCCCCAACGTCCAATGCTTTAAATGTCTTTCCCCCAAAATTAAATAGATGCCAATAGAGAATTTAGAATCCGTCGCTTTTTGTGTCCTAGACAGACTTCTTTCCCTGGAGAATCGGTTAGAATTGAAATATTCTCTCCCTGTTGTCCAACCCCCCAACCCACCCACCCCAGCAGAAATTACCCCCCCTAGTCCAGACTTCTGTTCTCCCCCCCACCATCCAAAGAATTTGGCCCAGAAAGAACAAAATGGAAAGTGACTAAAATCAAGCATTTATTGTCAATGAGAGACCTTTGCATTTAATCTTCTTTCTATACAGCACAAACAAAAATATACTGTACTTGGCATAGTTTTAAGGCTTCAATAATTTTAAAAACATCCATGATGAAGTAGTTCTTTCCCATTTGATTTGGAAAACAGTTCAGGCATCTTCAAAGTCGACCCCCGTCGGGGTCTTCTTGCTAGAGCGAAAGGGGAGACCCCGTGTGAGCATCCTTCACGCCTTCAAATGCCCCTCTCCCCCCGCTTCTGGCCCCCCCCCCGCCCTGGCAGGGAGCTGAGCACCGCGAGCGAGGTCTCCAGTCGCCCCTTTTCTCTGTTAGCAGAATTGGCATGAATCCTCGCTGGAGACGTTCCCGGGGATGTGCATGATGGGTCAGCTCCCTCCGAGCAGCCCAAGGGGTTTACCTTCTGAATCCAGGGTTAATGAGGGACTCCCCAGGCAGACGCCGCTTGCTCGGACCAGCCCCTCCTCTGGGCTTCCGCGGACTGAAGTCTGGGGTGGGGGGGCAGAGAAACCACAGAGACATATTCCTTGGGTAACCCAGACTTAGGGCTTTGGGGGGGAAATTGCTACTTTTCCAGCAGTTTGGAGCATCCAAAGAGGGGGGTGAGGGGCGCCCGGGGTGGGTGTTCCCATTGGCCCAGACCCAGGGACCGTTTCTCCCTGGGAAGGTCACTTTTCCCCTTGGACCGCTTAGGCATTAGTACAACTGGGTTTCTACAGTCTGGTTTTTCCAGCCTGGGAAGCCAGATCTTTCGAAAGGGAGGGGCTGGGGGCAGGTTGTGTCAGCTTTCTTCCCTCCCTTCCGGACTGGTTTGACTGGGAGGGGCGGAAGTGCCCCCTCCCGGCTGGAGGCCGCCTCTTACCTGCTCCCAAGAGACTCTGGCTGGGTGAGATCTTCTCGGGGCTCCTGAGGGCCAAGGAGGGGGCGGTGGCGGCTCTGCCCTCTGGGGAAGGAGGGGGACGAGGAGAAGCGGTCAGGCCCCGGGGCCCCTGAACCCGGAAACCCTCCGGGCCAAAAGGGGCCTTTTCCTTTGGTGCTGTGGCCGGGCTCGAACGTCCCTTCAGACGTGCTTGTGCTTAAACTGCCTTGGGCAGTTTCTACCGAATTTAACAGGAGCTTCATTCAGGCGAGAACCCCCAGACGCCTCTTCGCTTCCCCCCCCCCGCCCCTTTCCCCAGGAAGAAGCGCAGCTGTCTGCCTTGGGGGCTGCGGCTCCCCCCCTCGTTTTTTTCTTATGTGCCATGATTTGCAGAGGGGGGAGGGTTGCTTCCCCGACAGGAGGTTGCCCTCCGCCCAGGCCCTGTCCAGGAGCCCGGCTGCACCTTCCAGGCGTTTCTCCAGCGTCTGCAGCTGCTCCACCAGGCCGAAGGTGAGCTCCTGCAGCTGCCGCCTGGCCTCGGGGAGCGGGGCTTTGTCCAGGTCGAAGGTCACGCTCTGCCCGCCGTCCTGGACCTGCAGCGTGGCCTTGCTGTCGTGGAGGGCGAGGGTGGGCGTCTGGCCCTGCAAGATCTCCCTGCAAAGAGGCCAGGCGTGACCGGGAGGAGGTGCCCAGGAGGCGCCAGGAGGCAGAGCTGGGCGGGCGCTGCGGCGACTCTGAGGCAGGAGGCCGAGGAAGCGGATCCCCTTCCGATCCGGGGAGTCAACGGTGGCGGTGAATAGAAACAAAGGGCGCCCCCTCTCAGCCCGGGCCGGCATTTCCCCCGCCGGCTCTGCCCTCTTCCCTCCGGCTGCCTTCCTCCAAAGGGCTCCCCTCGGGTCCACGGGCTGCTGAAAGAGCCTCGAGGGGCGGCGGCTGAGCTGCCCTCCTGCGGAATCCGCCCGGGGAAGCCAGGGAAGGCGCAGGACCACGGCCAGCAGCCCCACTCACCGCAGTCTGGAGAGGCAGGCGGCGGCGGCGGCGGCGGTGGCGGGAGAGCCGGGCTCCTCCTGCGCCGAGAGGAAACGGCAGTCAGCCCCGCAATCCGGGCGCCCGCCGGGCTCACCCAAGGCGTAGGGGGCGCATTCTGCGATGCAGTGCAAAGGACCCCCGACCCAGGGAGGAGGAGGGGGACCCCGCGCACCTGCCCGCTCAGCTTCTCCGGAGGGACGCTGCAGCTCCAGAACTCGCAAGCGTCGGTCAGCCTGCAGGCGGGGAAGGAGGGGAGAAGGAGGGTTGGCCAGAAGGGGCTTCTCGGAGGCAGGACCCCGGCGGGGAGGGGGGCGGCGCTTCCCAGACCGGACTCTTCTCCGATTCTCCGGGGGAGCGCAGGCCAGCCTCCCGATCCGAGAATAAAGTGGCAGAGAAGGGGAGCTTCGGAGACATTTTTGAGGGCCGTTTTCCAGGCCCTCTGCACACGCTCAGGGGCCAAGGAAGAGGGGGCCGGGGGCAGATCCGAGCGCAAGGGGATCCCGACGCCGAAGGGCCGTTCCGCACTTACTGCAGCCGCGCAGAGGCGCCTCCGTCCCCGCAGAAGCAGAGGAACCGCCGCCCTCCGTGGCTCACCACGCGCAGCGGCCCCGGCGGCGCCATCGCTCCCGGCGGAGGCGCCCAGAAGCGGCGGCTCCGATGGCCGCGCCTGGTCCTCGGAAGGGCGTCCGGCCGCCGGTGGGTTCCCGCTAGAGCGGCGAGGCAGCGGCGCCTGCCGGCCGAACTCCGCGGCGGCTCAGGCCACCTCCGCCGGCCCTGCAGAGGGAGCTCTGGCGAAGGGAAGGGAAGGCGCCATGCCGCCCGCCACGGCAGCCAGCCCGGTGAGTGGCTCGGCCGGCGGCGTCTCGCGGGGGGCACGGGGGACGGGGGGCAGCAGGCAGCGGCCGCTGGGCGCGGCGCGGGTGGGAGGCGAGGCGAGCGAGGGGGGCGCCTGGATGGGGAGCGCGTCTGAGCGGGGCCGTCTCTTCCGCCCTGCAGGAGTGCGCCCTGTGCGAGGCTTTCGTGCGCCTGAAGGGGCTGGCCGTGCTCGCCATGGGTAAGCCCCGCCGTCCCAGGGGGGCCTGCCTGGGGCGTCCTTGGGCTGCGTCTGGATAAAGAGTGAAGGGCGGAGGGGGGGAGGCTAATCCGTGCCGGCCTGATCCTCTGCTTGTGTCCTCGCAGGTACCGGAGTGGCCTTTGTTGTTCTCCGGAAGCCCCTTCCCCTCCCCTGGAGCGCCCTCTTCTCTCTGGGTGGGTATTTCTAGGGAACGCTGTGCGCCCCCCCCCCCCCGAATCGCAGAGGTAAACCTGCCCTTGGGGTGAGAGGCCGGGCGTTGCCCCCTAAGATTCTTTTCCCTTCGGTTAATCTAGCAAGCCCTATAAAAAGCCCCCTGGGGCATCCTCCGACTGAGGCCTCTGAGCCAGCCTGGGGCTCCCGTCAGAGGGGAGATGCCCCCAACTCTGATCGGATGACCCCCTTGGATTGGGAATAAAGGCGATTTCAGTGGGACTTTTCTCCTCTTGGCCTCCTGCAGCTTTGGCCGCCTTACCCAGCTATGCAATTACCCGGAAGCAGCTGAAGAAATGTGCTGACTTGTGGGACTTCCAGCCCCCCCCCCAAGGTAGCCCAAAGGTGAGCAATGGGGGGGTTTGAAGCTGTTCAAAGGCTGCAGCCCCACTGCAGATCCCTGAATTTCAAGCCCAACCAGGCAGGACACGGATGGCTGCTTAGGAGAAGCCATGCAACCATTTGGAACTTCGTGCAGTGTGTGAACAAGGTCGCAGGTGCCAGGCCTGCGTTGGCCTCCCCCTGGCAAAGGCTGGCAGATTTTATGCCCTCTGTATAAAGGAGTCTCAGAGACCTTTGACTGGATTGCCGTTCATTTATTTTATTTATTACTTTTTGATACTTGGTTCTTCAATTCCTGCACAGATGAAGGGGAACAGATGGAAAATGCCCCCAAACTCTTCTAAGGCACGTCAAAGTAACTGTTTGAAGATCATTTAATCATGTAAATGTTGTAAAATGCAGAGGTAGCTAATCAAAAGCAGAGGGGATGGACTAGATGCCCTTTGGAATCCCTCAGGGGAAATCCCCGTCAGCTGAAGGAGCCCCCTAAGCCACAGGCCTGAGTTTCATTTCGGTGCGCTTGTAGGAGTAGTGGTAGCCTCTCCCCGTTCTCCAGTTGATGCCGTCCGCATAAGACTGGTGTGCTCCCAGCCAGTATTGCCCGTTGAGGTTGGAGTCGTGGCACTCATTGTACCACCAGGCCCCTTTGCGGTTCTCAGCACAGTTGAGCTTTGGCGTGTCCTGCTGCTTCTCTCGGGTGGAGAAGGGCATGTGGTTGTGGTAGGAGAGCGAGTCCCCTGGGGGAAGGGAGGCGGTTGAATGCCCAGAAGGCCAGCCCAGGGCATCTCCAGGGCATCAGCCAGCCAGGGAGGGTGGTCCTTGGCACTGCCCACCCGGGAGATGTTCCTGGAGAAGGACTTTTTCAGAGGCTTACCTGCAGGGCCCCCAAGGAAGTTGCCCAGAGTCAGCCGATACTGGTCATGTTCCGCTGCCACCTGGAAGGATCCATACTTGGCGAAGGAATGCCGATTCTCAAAATCCATGAAGTCAATACGCAACTCATATTTTCCTAGGGAGCAATTGAGAATCAAGTCCACACCTGTATAAACTCACGTGTGTGTGGTGCACTGCTCAGCCCCCAAAACCCACAGCCCAGAGAGAAGGGCCAGGCAGCAGTTCTCCCCAGCCAGAGCCTGTGCCCCCCTCCCCTGGCAGCAGGAAGGTCCAGGGCTGCGAGGGAGAAGCCCCTCACCCAGAGAAGTCAAGAGGTGAAGGTGGTCATTCCCCAGCCAGAATTCGCTCAGCTCGCTGCCAAATCCCCTCTTGTAGGCAGCCCAGTCCTGGAAAAAGTCCACCGAGCCGTCCGACCGTCTCTGGAAGACCTGCGGGAGACAGCCGGGCCCCTTAACCTTCCCGCTGGGCAGGCCCCCAAATCATACCCTTCCCTCCCTTCCCAAATGTTGGGGGTCCCCAGAGCCGCCTGTCTCTACCCAGAGGTGCTGGGCCTCCTCCCAGCATCCCTCCAGCCCCCCTCCTGCCCCCGGGGGAGCCTCGGTTCCTGCTTCCTCCCGTTCCTGGGAAGAGACGGGCGAGCAGAAAGCTCCCCTCCTGAGTGGGTCTGCCGTGGGCCGGACTCACAATCCATCCGCCTCCGTCAGTGTGCATGTCGCACAGCACCCGCAGGGGCTGGTAGTCCTGGGGGTAGATGGTGTGCCAGCCGCTCAGGACCACCCCCTGGGCCAGGAGCTCCTTGCAGCTTGGGGCACCTGGGCAGAAAGGGAGGCAGGAGAGGGTGGCCCTTCTGACTCAGGCAGTCCAACCCCCCCCACTTTTAGTGCCCCTTGCTTGGAGCTCCTTTCCCAAAGTGCCCTGCCTCTCCTCCTGCTGCAGGAGCACACACACATACGCAGAGCTGCAGCCTGGAATCGGAATCCCCCTGGTTGCCCCCTTACCTTTTGGCCCAGGGGGCCCAATTTCCCCAGGGGTTCCCTGCAAGCCCCTTTCACCTGTTAAGGGAAGGCAGAGTGAGCCTCCAGGCCCTCTTCCCGGGGGGGGGGGCAGCCCCATCCCAGCCACTATTCAGTGCAGGCTTAAACCAGGGCAGGAGGCTAAGCCGAAGGAAATGCCCACTTTGGGAGGGGGAATTTCCACAGCTGGAGTGCCAGGAAGAAAGGGATTCCCTCCCCCCTTGTGCCAGTCTTCTTTTGCAGCACATTCCTCCTGCCTTACGATAAGGGGGAGGGGCTTCATTTGGAAGGGGTCAGATTCAGGGGCTACCTCGCCCCCCCCATCAGCACACACACCTTTGGATCTGGGAATGCCTGGGGGGCCCTGGGGCCTTGAGCCTGCACTTCCCTGCAGAACAGCTATCATCTGGTTGGCATCCACGCCCAGCCTCTTCAATACTGGAAGAGATGGCAAACATTTTAAAAACCACTTTGATTTTTGAGTGAAGCTAAATTTTCCATCTCCGAAGGGCGGCGATGCTGTCTGTCTACCTCAGAGCCAACTGCTTGCTGCTCACCTGGGCAGGTAGACTCCTTCTCCCCTGGACTAGTTGCGGCCGTCAGGCAGAGCAGGAAGAGAGACGCTCGCTGGCCAGCTCTGCCCATGGTGCCAGCCGGGCTCTGACTGCCGCCTGCCCTGGACCCTCCGGCTTTTATCTGCTGCTTTTGTCCTTCCCAAATGGGTGTTCCAAGGTCAACGGTTACAACACCACAACCTGCTTCTTCCTTCTTGATCACAACACTCTGATCTCACGTGCTGTAAGTTCAAGAGAATGTGGGCTTCATCGTCTTCATTCGCCTGCTCCGAAGGAAAGCCACGAGGGAAACCTTCCCAAACCATGAGATCCCAGGTGGTCCTCTTTCCCTGCCGGTTCTTTGTAGGCAGAATCGGATTTGCAATCCAAATGAACAATTCAGAGTAAGCAACGAATGGTCCAGTGGCCAAAATGAGGCCAGGCTTCAAATCTGGGGACACGTGTGCACCGTGTAAACAACCACACTGTAACTTTCCCGATTGTGCAGAAATACAGGCAACACGGCTGAAGGATTAGAAGCAGCAGGGCCAGGAGAGGGTTTGGTCAGCTGCTCTGAATCCCTTGAAGGAAAACGGTCCAGGTGGTGAAGCATCAGAGCCCCCCAAGCAGCCCTTCAGGAGCGGCTCCCCTTTTGGGCTTTATTCTCCTGCTTGTCAAAAAACAGCCTCCTTGTTTTTCCTAAGGTACCAACAGAGGAACAGACGGTGGCGGAAGCCGGGTGGCATCTTAAGGGGCACTCAACCCCAGCCCAACCCGGAGGGTAAAACGGGGCTCTAATTGGGAAAGAGGCGTTTGACCTTCAGATCTCAAAGTTCTTGTGCAATTAAAATTATTTGCTTGTTAATCCTTAAAGTAATCAGTCGGGCAATGTCATAACTTCTCAACCAGTCTTTCTGGTTTTTGCCCCTTCCAGGGATGGGGTGCCTTTTCTGGGTTTCCGGGAGCCCTTTATTTATTCTGAGATGACTTGTGGGCATTTGGAGGGCCCTGGGGTTTACGGGTGGAAGGGCGGGTGACTAAAGAGCTCCTGCTGGGCTGGTGCCAAGAGAGCCAAGGGACCCCCAGGAGGGCCAGGCCAAGCGCCTGTGAGGGAGGAAGGACCCCTCAGCCCAGGAGAGGCAAGGTGGCCAGCAGGCCGGGGGGGGGGCACCTTCTTCGGGAGAGCAATGAGGAAAATCACACACAATTCTTTTGTTTGCTGTGTTTTATTTATGCTTTAATTGACAAGCAAGGGTTGGCATTGGCCTTCTGGCTGGCAGGAAGGGAGGTACCCGCAGGGGCCCTTTTAGCAGAGACGGGCTCTTCATCCTTTCCCCACCGGAGTGGGGGTTTGCGATGGCCCGAATCTCTACTTCTCTGCCTTGAACTCTTAGCAGGTTCCTGCAGAGGAGAGAAGAGAGAAGAGTCATCCCAGGAGGAGGAGGAGGAGGAGGAGGAGGAGGAGGAGGAGGAGGACAAGCAGGAGGAGGAGGAGGAGGAGGAAGGGGAGGCGTCCTTCTCTGAAGCGCTGATGAGCCCTAAGTATCTCGAAGCTCAGCTTGTGAACATGACTTGAAATGAAGGAAAACTCCCCCCAGGTCTGCCCAGGAGAGTTTCCACCAGCCCAGAAGAGGTGATTGCGAAGGACCGAAGGGTTACCTAGCAGGACGCTGGTGACAATTTCTGGAAGTATCCCCAGAGAGTTGGCAGCAGCCTTCAATTTCTCCTTCAAAGCCGGCGTCATGTTGGGCTGAGTGCCTAGAGGCAAACAGGGAGGTGGGTTGGGTTGGCAGGAAAACTCAGGGATGGAGGGGGGGCTGCTCTGGCTCCCCCCAAATTTCCTGGTTGAACTGCTGGGAGGGATGGAGAGAATCGGAGGGGGGAGATCTAGAGGTACAGGAGGGAAGGGCTTCCCTTGGGGCAGAGATTCTTGGGGGGCAGGAGGGGGAGGAGACGTGCCTCACCTCCCAGCTGGCACCCCAAAGAGGGTGATGGAGGTGGCCTAGTGGGGGCAAGAAGCAAAGGGAGGGGCCTTGGTTTGCTGCCAGCAATATTAAGAAGGGTGAGGACAAGCGTGAGGTTCTCTCCCGACCAGCCCCCCACCCAGCTCTCTTACCGGCAAGTGCCAGGAAGGTATCCCGGTGTCTGGCGCCCCGTGTGATGTACACGATGAGATAGGTATTGTAATCCGTATCCACAAACTGAAGGGTGCTCGGGGCTTCATTGAAAAAAGTGGGGAGAGGCTGTTTTGTCACCTTCCGTGCAGGAGCCCTGCATACCCCCTCCCCTGCCTGTCCCTGCAGAAGCTGCCATCCTCCCTTCTACCGCTGAAGACCGTGAGAGCCTGAAACCTTTTCAAGGACACCAGAACAGGTGTGGCTTTGAAGCAGACGGTTCTCATAACAAAGTGAACTTGTTAATATGGAATACGTAAGACGTTGGGGGTTTGGCTGGGAAAATTGTTGTTTAAGGCTATGAATTGGTGTTGGAACCTCAGAGTTAGTTTTCCTTCAACATTACCATGCAGCTTATTGAACAAACAGTAAGATTTTTGGGAATGGAATGAACCTGGAGTTTTGTTTGGATTCTCCAGCTGGATGTTGACAAGAGGTGCGGGCTTCTCTTGGGCAGGAGGGGGCAGGCTCACCCCCTGCCCTGCCCTGCCCTGTGGGGTCTTTCCACACTCTCCAAGGACAGGCGGATGAAGCCTCTTACAGAGGGGGGAGGGGGGAGGAACAGGTGGGGCAGTTGCCCTGGGAAATTCAGGATTGCCAGTCTTCTTCGCCAGCCCAACATGAAAACTCCCCAGGGAGCAAGTCCGGCTGAAGGAGGGAGGGAATTCCCCACTCACCGCTGGTCACATAGTACCCTGGTTGGCCCTCTTTAGTCAGCATTATATCTTGAGTCCTGCATCTGCCGTTTCTGGAAAGAAGAGTAAACCGCATAAACCTTTGGGGGGGGTCATGGAGGGACCCAAACCTGGCCCCCTTTCGGTGGGAGCCGGAAGAGAAGGGTTGCAGAGAAGAGCCTGGCCAGCTGTTACTTAGCAGTGCTGGAAAGGAAGAATCGAAGGCTGCCTTCCTTTTTCTTCCTTCAGTGAATGAAATGGCCAAAGGCAGAGCTGCCCGCCAAGGCACAATCTCCAGCTGTCAAATCTCAGGAAGCCTCAATTTCTACAAAAGTATTCCAGCAGGCTCGCTTTCCCAGCCCTTCACTTTCTGTGCCTTGGCAAGCAACTCAGACATGGACCCCAGACCTCCTGCCAATATTGGGGATGATGGACATGGGAGTACAAAGCGTTGAAAGGCTCCCAGATGCACCCCCTTTTCCTCTTCCCCCGCCTGCCCTCTGGGGGACAGGAACCCTCCCCCCCCCCGGCCAGTGAAGGCTTTTCCTTACGGCAGCTCCCAAAACTTACTGGGGAACTCTAATTCTGTACTTCAGGTTTCCATTTGGTTGGGTCACAAATGTAAACGGGGGGAACGCCGCAGTCGGCACCTCTCCAGTAGGAATGAACGCAATAGGATACCAAACCTTGGCAATCTAGAAAAAGGAGAAGCCGGGTTAGTTTGCTAGCACTGAAGGGGAGGGGATCCAAAACCCAAACTCCCTTGCACCATTTGTAAGGAAAGCTGACATTTGCAGGGCTGATGATGTTCCCTAGTTGGGTCGTGAAACGCCTCCCAGCCAACCACCCAGCACCAAGGGCCCCCCAGGGCCCCCCGGGCTTCTCTCCTACTTAGAGTTGGGAGGAGAAGAAATTCCTTCCAGGATTTTCAGCTCTGACCCTTTGGTTACTGAAGTTCGGCATGATGGGGATGTCCGTTGCGGCTCCAAGCCAGCAGACGCCAGCCAGGAAAAGGCTGCCCAGCAGGAGCTTCATTGCTGCCACTCTGTTGCCCTTCTGGGTGCTCAGCTTTGCCCAGACGGTCTTTTATCCTCCAGACGGTCATCCAGGTGAATCCACCCTTGTCCAGGAAGCTATCGAAAGAGGACGGCACGGACCGTTGACAGGAGAAATGGGGCCCGGATGGCTGCCCTTCGGAACACAGCAGGATGGGACGTTCCCTGCAGAGAGAGCTTGGGAGCAGCGCCTTCCCTCCTCAGCAGCGGGCTCTGTGTGTGTGTGTGTGTGTGTGTGTGTGTATTCACGCCCGGAAGCACCCCACTGTGCCCTGCCCGGCCTTGGTCCTTTGGCTCTCCAATCCCTGTTTGACCTGCTGGGGAAGGATGGAGAGAACCGAAGGGGGGGGGGGAAGAGACACAAGGAGGGAAAGGCCTACCTCAATCTCCCTCCTCCCCCCCACCATGCCCCTCAGCATCTCTTCCCCAGGGAATCCCTTCCCTCTCTTTGTCTTGCTCTCCCAGCCTCAGCAGATAAAAGCAGGAGGGTCCAGGGCAGGCGGGAGGCAGAGTCCATCTGGCATGATGGGCAGAGCTGGCCCCAACCTGTGGAGGGGCAGAGAGGTCTACCTGCCCAGGTGAGCAGCAGGCAGGTGAATTCTGGGGGAGATGGGAAATAAAGCTCTGCTTTAAAGAAGAATGTGGTTTTTCACCCCAAATGTTTTCCTTCCATTCCAGTATTGAAGAGGCCGGGCCTGGCTGGCAATAGACGACAGAGATCCTGCGGGGAATTTGAGGCTTCCCTGCACCTGCAGGACCCCAGGGACCCCCAGGCCTTCCCGGGGCCAAAGGGGGGCCTTCTGGGGGGGAGGGGGAGCTGCCCCCTGGATCTGACCCCTCCCCTCTTGTCCCCAGGCAGGAGGAAC